GCCTGTATTCCTAAGCACCCCATAACGCAAACAAAAAGTCTTTAGAAACCAATGATATTGAACTTTTTTACTATTTGAATGCCTACATTATCCGTGGTCAGTAGTCAGCTCTTAAAGCCGATCGTACTGAATTCCTATGCGTCTAATTGCAGAAACTCATATAATAAAAATAGAAAAAGGAATTGGTATCGCTTTAATTCCTATCAGCCGTGGCCTGCTGACATTTCAAAGAAACTATTCACCAGTATTCCTATGCGTCTGACAGTCACCAAAGCGGTACACAAGAAAGGACAGAAGAAATGGTTATAGATATACAGTGTCATTGCAATTTAAACAGTAGCCGTGGTCAGGCGTACCCTCTGTAGAGAACCAATCCCCTGCAGTCCAATGCGTCTAACTGCTAAATATACCTAAATGACGTTAAAAGAGATTTATTTTTCCTTACGATAGTTGCAATTAAAAGAAAACATAGCGATAACGATAAACAAAAATGTAGCTAAACTACAAAAGGGAAAAAGAAATTTAATTGCGACTAACGTACGAGAAGCTATTGTTGGAAAAGACTAAAGATTTTACTGCAGAAAAGAATAAAAAGTGTATCAGTCATATTTATGTTCTTGTGAAGCCTAACATTTGAAAGCCAAAAATACGAAATAAAATTGACAACTAAAAGTTGGGCTCCACACGTTGGGCGCCATAATAATAAATGAAATTATAACTGTAACGGGTATAGGACATATCCCAGTAGAGTAGGCGAGATGGTGTGTGTATGTTGGAGAGCGCACGCTATATGTTCCGGCTCGGGCTCGTCGGCTAGTGGGTGGTGTTCGAGGTCTCTCCAATCATACGGCCTTTCATTAAGCTTATTATTTAGAGTTAAAGCGTGCTGTGGGGAAGCCAAAAAAAAACCGGTAAAGATATACATGAATATGACTAACAAAAGGATCGCGGGTTGGCAGACCACGTAACACAAGTGAACACACCTCTGGTATTCCCCTGATGGTGTTGAGGAAGTATTGGCCCACCCATCCTTGGTCATTTATATCCAAAAACAATTAGGCAAATGACCCCTTTGAACCTCTACATGCTGTGGCTAGCGGAAATCAATGTTAGGCGGAATTTAAGCGAACATTATAAACTTTTTATTAAAAACTAAAATCATAATTTTCAAGGAATTCCAAAAAAAAGTGACCGTACATTAACCGATAATAGAAATCTAAAGCTAATTATCACTGGATTCGTAGCCAGTAGCAGAATAGGTAAACATATGACTGCCTTAAAATACTAGTGTAAATATAAATTGAGCAAGGTGAGTAAAGCAACGGCTTGGCTGTAAGAGATGGTTAATAATTGAAATGGATCGTAATATAATAGGAAAAAAATTTGATGTAAGAGAAAGTGTTGATATTTAAAGTGTTATAAATTCTTGCATCGCTTTTTTTTTTTTTTTGTAAAGATTGGCCATAAATTTAAGTAAGTAATGACCGCAATCAAGTATAACGTTATTACGGTGATTTAAAAAAAAATAATAATAATGCGGAAATTAGACTTTACATGGCCAGCAGGCAGACATATGACGCATATGAACAGGTGTTTTATTTATTTTTTTTTTTTGTTTTTGTACGCGTGCTCTTCTGCATGAAAGTAAATAAAATTCAAACGGTTCTACTTACAGTTGTCGTCCAACGTCGAAAGATCTTTCCGTTGAGGCGCTCTGCATAGGCTCGTTGCTGCTTACATGCACATTAATTATGATTTTTAATTTGTTTGTAAAATTTTATGTTGAAATTTTGGTTTTAAAAACATGCACTTTTCATACCTTCACTTGTCGCCATGCTTAATAAAATTTTATTTCGAAACGTATAGTCAAAGGGGTTTTTATTTGTTGTTTTGCCTTTTTTTTTTGTTGCCTTCTCTTTTCTTTTTTTTCTCTTTGGTTTTCACTTATTTCTTTTTTTTTCCCTCTCTACACACCCGGCCGTGCTGCTTTGCTCACATCGGATATAGATCAATTTAAGTATAAGGCCGTATACGACCCAAAAAAAAAGAATATAAGACGAAAGAATAGAAAAAAAATAAATGCCTAGTTCTCTCGGTTGCACTTTTTTTGTTGTTTTTGCAGGGCCCACATTTGTGTATAGTTTTACATATATATAGTTTTTATAAATTTTTTTTTTTTTTTTTTTTTTTTACGCAGGCCCTCTTCACTAAAGCCACCTGGGGCTTCGCCACCTTTTCGGTGCACGGAAACGCAACAAAAAAAACAGGTGCCCTAGCTTAAGCCGACGACCGTCATATCGGATATGATCCACGCAACTGAGGCGGTGATTCTTTTCGCCGTTCCAGTGGCCTGAGCGAAGCGCCGATCTCGTTTCTAGCACGCCTCCTTCTCCCGTGCACTTCCCTTTTCCTAGTCGTCGCTCTAGCAAGTGCCCATCAAAGCGATAAGCAAAGGTTAATGCCCTTTATGGGGATTGGACTTTTTATTAAGTGCCAATTCTGCACGAAAACAATGTACAATGAAGAAATAGCATTAGCTTTTGCATTTTATATGCGAATAAACGGAAAAAGTAAAATTTACCCGATATCCGGAAGTGGCACCAGGCAGAATTCCTTTTGCTAACACAATTGAAGTGAAAGATTACTGCAAATTCTCCAAATTTGTTGCAGCAGGCTTAACGCTTTGGCCCAGCCGAATTTGAAACGGACTATAGGTTATACTATATGTATGACCATATATTTGCCAGCCAGAGTATATTGGGCACAACCTGCTCCCATGCGATCTTCAAGCGAAAAGAAAGTATCCGGATGCCGAGGCTACGCAAGAAAACTTTTCTTTGCGGAAATTGCTTCACCCCCTCTTCTGACAATCTCCCTTTGACAGGTCAAGGTTGAAGAAAGGGCCACTGACAACTAGCAAATATTGCCACTGAGCAATACTGAAAATAACCCATAGGTGGCCGATAGCCGTGCGGCTGCAGAAAATAATTTTTTTTTTGTACATATATAAAAACAATTATGGAAAATTTGTTTGTTTCGTCTGCTAAGGCAAGAATAATAAAAAATGCGATCATAGGCAGTTGGCGCTAAGACGAATCGCCAATTCAAACCGTAACTAAACAAGCAGTGCGTAAACATAAATAGCCAATGAACTGCTTGACTAAGGGAATGCAATTTAATTTACGATATTCGCCGCCAGCGTCGTTACATAGCTTAAAAGTTTCCTATAAAAATTGGGAACAACTTCAGCTGACTTTGAATTTCCACCAATAGTATAATTTCAATCAGCTTTCTTAGGCAGTTGGAATCAAATATAATTTCGATATTCATAACGCCATTCAAGCATAGATTTATGAATATAATGATACTCTTTTGGCCCATAGTGCGCTGACCAAACTAATTGTAATTCAAGACGGGGGCGATTTTATTATGGGAATTACTACAACTTCACTACAATGTGTGACGATGTGTTAGTGTGTATGCGTGTGCATGTGTGTGTGTGCGTGTGTGTGTTTGTGTCAACTGTGCCTTAAAAGTTGACTTATGCGCTGTTGGCCACGACAACAGCAACAGCAACAGCAACACAAACAGCAACAACAATGGAACGATCGTCAGCGACACGCCAACAGCAACAGCAACATGTTGCCATTGTTGTTGCTATTGCTGTAGCTGCTGCCTCTGCTGCCTCAACGCTCAAATTGAAACACTTCGGAGACAAATTGTTATCGTTTAATTTGATCAAACGCACGATCTGGCTGCTGATTTTTTCGTCGTTGCTGTTGCTGTTGCCGCAAAAAAGTCGCCAGGCGACATGTTGCTGCTGTTGCTGCTGCTGGTGCTGCCTCATCGCGGCATTGCGTGATTTTTATTTGGTAGCAAACATTGCGGACAGTCGCACCAATGGACAATGGACAGTTGTGCAAACAAAAGGCCAACAGCAACAACAACTACAGCAAAAGAAAAAAAAAAAAAAGAAAAAAGGATGTGACGGCTGCAATTGCTGCTGCTGCCATTGCCGTTGCTGTTGCTGTTGCTGTCTGGCTTTGCTTGGTCTTTGCCGCTGCTGTTGGTGCCCCTTTGTGGTCACTTTTGGAGCCTTTGTTTGCCGCTTGAATATATCTGAAGGTAGTCTGTGTGTGTATGTGTGTATGTGTGTAGTTTATTGTATTTTCTTTTCAATCCAAAGCTTGTGGCACGCCCGTCCGTTTGTCAGCTCCATGCTCCACAGACAGACCGTTTTTGCTTGGCCCCAAGGCTCTGCCCATTCTCTCTAATCCTTAAAACAGTGGCTCCAAATAGTATTCCAATACATCTTTCTATTGCTAGCTCGTTAGTCTAAATAAGCCACAAAAAGCTTGCCTACAAAATTTTACTATATATGTATTATACTCATTGTTGTTCTCAAGAATGTTGAATTTAATTTTTTGGTTTTGATTCGATAAGTTTTTGTTAGAGAATTGAAATATTTTTAACCCATTTTAAGAAAAATTAACAATGATTATAGGATCAACGATCTCTGATTAAAATATAAAAGCACTCTATAGTTACTTATGGATGTATTTAATATACCATACAAGTATGTTTATATTCGATCCAATTCGCTGTTTTTGAAGAAAATAACATGAGCTGTAGCTGATTAAATCACAATATTTATTGCATTGAGTGCAGCTTGCGTGCAGCTATAAAGCCTGCCTTGCCATTGGCTTCGATCCTCTGACAAATCATGGCCCGATTTATTGCATTGTTGCGATAATTATGTGCAATTTATTGTTGCCATTGCCCATTGCCCCTCCGATGTCCCCTTCGATGCACAGCTCAGGACTGGCAGCCTATCGATCCGATGCCTGGCTGTTGACTTGTGTAAACATTTCGCTTATGAAATTATGTAAATTATTGCTGGCAAAGTGACTGACAATTCACTTCCTTCAACGCTAACTCAACTTCAAGTTTAAGTTCAACTCCAGCTACAACTTAAACTCCTTCTTTTCTTTCTCTTGCAGATAACTGGGGCTATCATCGGCAGGGTTCGTGCCAGGCCGGCTTCAGTGCGGCTATCAACAGTGTAAGTTGTATTGAGTTATTTTGGTTGGAGTTGTGGGGCCCGGGCCCCGGATTGGCGTGGGTAGCCCGGCGCACGTTCAGTTGACACCCTCGACAAGATCGTGGCATAACATTTGCATTAATTCGAATGCACATTCACAATCCTATTTACGAGCGAATGCTGTTTCTGATTCTGCTTCTGATTCTCACATTCACAAATTCTCTCAAACGTCTATTTGCAGAATGGGTCGCGTTTGTATATCGGTGCACCTGGCAGCTGGTACTGGCAAGGTAAGTGCACGTTTTTCCCACATGTACCGTTCGTTGCCTACAATCTGTACCTTCTAAATGTTACCGAATTATTTATTTACCGTATTTCTTTCTTTAGTACTACAAAAGCTATCCATTGTATTTGTAAAGCGTAACTTTTAGCCATATATAGCTATAACTATAAGTGAATCGACCCCGAACCTCAACCTGAACCACACCTCAACCACTGTCCCGTAAAACAAAAATGTACCGTAGTCTGATCTGCCATGTCGCAGCCTAGCTTCTTTTATTCGTATGGTTTTTTTTCGTATTTGGTTTTACTTAGTTGCCAACTTTTTGCATTCAATTTTGCGTTACATTGATTTTTGATTATGAAAGTTTCCCCCACCCTGTACACAAACAATCAAACACACGTATGCGTATGCCAGCAGTCCAACTCCAAATATATTTAGTATTGCCACACCCATTTTCCCAATCTACCAAACTCTTTCTAGTTCTAATGAAAACCAGCTATACTGTGTATAAATTTTGCATTGTAATCATTTAGTTTTGTTAATGTACTCGTACCTACTTAATTTGTGTATAATTTTACTGCCACCCTTGGGACAACATCATTTAAGATCTAAGCCAGTCTATAACATACTCGTACACACACAAAAACACACTCACGAATAATCTATATCTGAGGACTCTTTACTGACTCTTTAAGGTATCCAGTTAATGTTAAGTGGGCTAAGCGGATTGCGAGATATCACTCGTATTTGAAGTGTACCTATGGTACAACGTATTATTATAATTTGTGCCCATGGTACACAATCCACAGTAGTCTATCTGAGGGGTGGCTCTTTACTGACTCTTTAAGGTATTCGAAACGTATGTTAAGCGAGTTGAGAATGATACCAAAAGTTTATAAACTAAACATGGTCTTCCGTACTAATACAATTTGTACCCATGGTACACAATCCACATTTCGCTATCTAAGACTCTTTAAGATATTATTTTATGTTAAGCGGGCTGAGAGATGTCGAAAATAAATTAAGCATGGTACAATATGTAACCATAACTGTACCCATTGATAGGCCGGTTAGTTTTAAGTCCATGACCATTACATTTTATAATTTGCCGCATGGCCACAGAGCTAAATATAGTGTAAACGTAGTACTTACATACATATAGTACCATTTTTATCTGGCTATCGTTTAAGTACCAAACGAATTTGTCGTAATGTGATGCGTCGTCCTCGTCCTTTGTGCATGCCGCGTTGTAGTTGTAGATTCAAAATACCAAAAGACATAAGCGTGCGTACCACCTTTTGGTACCGCTTCAGAGTGGATCGAACTCGAGTAGTCTATAAGTAATTAAGAGAGTGTTTTATTGCCGTTGCCGAGTTGTTGTCGTCGTTGATGTTGTTGTCGAAACATCTAACCCCATTTGTGTAAAGAGCAGCAAAATGCTCTAATCTGGCTTCTTCTTCTCGCAATATATTGTCTTGCTAAACTAAAAAACCACTCCCCATAACTCAAAATTTCATTGTGTACCTACAACTCGACAGCAAAACCAAGAGACCAACTAACTTAAACTGTAACAGTAAACTTAATACATAACGTTTAAGTCAACGATATGGAGCGCGTAGACCCACTCAATAGTATTGTACCGTAATTGTAGCTGCATTTATTGTACCGTACTGTATGTAAATGTATAATTTCTAATGTACCGTTTAACGCATATTGCTCCCTCTATTTAAATATTGCCATTTTTTTGTCTCATATTTGATTAATCTAAATTTTCTCTCTCTCTCTCTTTTTCTCTGTCACTCTTACTTTGTCTGATACGCGCTCTTGGCCTGCACAAAATGCATGCATTTTTGTGCGGTACAAACGAGTGCATTTTCTACCAATTTAAAAAAACAAAAAAAAAAACGTGAACGTTGCGCTCCCAAAAATCGAACAATCAAAACCCTCACCTCAACTTTAACACCAAACTCGAATACCAAAAAACAAAAAACGAACAAAAAATATAATTTTTCGAAACAATAAAATAAATCGAAACGAAATAAATATTTTGTTTCCTTCTAATACTGGAAAAAAAAAACACTGAATACAAAAGGACAAACCTACTCAATACCGTCCGATGCCGAGTTTCCATTTAAGCCGCCTTTTTATCAGCCCTTCGGCACTGGAGGTAATAATAATAATCAAATGCTATTCACATAAACAACTCGATTACAACAAGAAAAACCATTAACCAGCTTAAAATCAATAAAAGCAAACGCTTGCAACATTTGTATAAAAAAAAACAAAAAAAAAAATACCATCTATGGCGCGTGAAAGCATTTCAAGATCTATATTCCTGGTGTCTGATACTCCATTATACTCACACCCATTCACACAAGCTCTCATTGAACTCATATTCTGGGCAAGGCGTTGCCAGAGCTAGCGAAAAAGTACAAATTATGCCATTATATATTGGTGTGTATTTTGGCTAATTTTGGCACGACTCTAATCGCTGCGCACGGCAACAATAGCCAATCATCCCGCAACTGATATAAAATGCTTTTCACCTCGGTGTTATGTTGTCCAACTTCACATACTATAAATAAATATCTGTGGCTGCTTGTCCTTCGTCGAAGGCATTTGACTGCGTGAGCGGTAAGCCGTCCAAACGTTTTAGCTGGCACGCAGTCGAATGACTGGTAGACGTTCAGGCTAAGCATTGAACCAAACGCGGGCCCCCTGTTGGGCGCCAAATTATGCACAGAGTAGATATCGGTTAATTGCTTAACTGCTGGGTACACTAAATAAAACAAAGTCTCTTTTGGACTAACAGTAATAAAGCAATGTACACATAAATCTTCAGTCTATAGAAATATTGCCAAGATTTCGAAATCATTGCTTAAAATTGAATTTCAGAAGCTTTCAAAGTTGGTCTTGTTTATAACTCGTTTAAGTATACAGGAAAAACTATGATAACTATTTTTGATAGCTGCATTGATTGCTAATACATACATATATATTAACCGATATCTACTCTATGCGACTTATTAATCACGCGCAGGCGCACGCAGCTGCAAATGCGATTGCGCAGTGTGACTGTCATGCCACCGGCTTTCGTTTAGTCTAAGTTATTGCCCTAAATTAAGTACAAGTGGCACCTGAGAGCCGGCCACTGCTTATGCTCATTGCTTTCGGTGTATGGTCGTTTACTAAACCGCAGATAAGAGGTGCTTGCATGGAACTGTTTGTACAAGTAGTTGCTTAAGGATTGAGGGCACTGCATGCCGTATAGACTAATACTAACTACTAAACAAAGCACACACACACGCACACACTCTGTTAAATACATATGTATGTATATGTATATATACCGCATGCCCTGACAGTAGTGAGCACTTAGTTCTTAGTTAATACGTGCAAACCTTCATACCTTGTAGATGTTGTAGCTCTATAGACTTGCATGCGAGATCACTTAGTTAAGTTTAATTACACTATGCAATACGATCTGTCATACCAAAACCCCACTTTTAATTTTGCATAACAACCAAAATGCAATGAGGAGAACTCCACTATCGATGAAGCGAAATCAAATAGTGGGGTCTCGGCAGATGGACTATTGTTTTTGGTAGCTATGTATGTATGTTATGTGTAGTTGAGCTGTTGTTGTTGCTGTAGCTGTAGATGTTTTTTTTTGCACTAATTCACCCGCCGCTAGTTTCGTGGTCAAGTGTTAACCCGCATGCGCAGACCCCCAAGTCGCAGCCAACATCCACCACTACATCCAAAACCCGCTTTAAGTTCCAGCAGCCGTTTTTCGTAATCTATGCTGTCTGTTTTGAAAAAATTATCACTAAAAGTTGTTGTAACGCCCACCACCCACAGGTCAAACCTACAGCACTGATGTGACCAGACCAGAGAATCAGGTTTTCTTCACGCCAGAGAGCTCCTCGCCCAATGATGACTCTTACCTGGGCTACTCGATGGTTACCGGCGATTTCAACGGTGATCACAACGAGGATGTTGCCATTGGTATGCCACGTGGTGCGAATTTGCTGGGAAAGATAGTGGTCAATCGTTGGAATATGGCCAACATTTTCAATATTACGGGTCGCCAGATAGGCGAGTATTTTGGCTATGCCCTTTCTACCAGCGATGTGGATGGAGATGGTCTAGACGATTTAATCATTGGTGCACCCATGTATACCGAACCTGGCAACGTTGAGGGCAAATACGATGTGGGACGTGTGTATGTTTTGGTGCAACGCGGTACTACGCCGGTATGTCTTTGAAAATGATTTAAGAGTTTCTCAATAACCTACATTTATTTTCAGCTGGAACCTTGGACCACGGAATATATTCGGGATGGATTCAATACCAAAGGACGTTTCGGTCTAGCGCTGACGACACTAGGCGATGTCAATCGGGATGGCTATGGTGATTTTGCCGTGGGTGCACCTTACGATGGACCCGAGGGACGTGGTGTGGTCTATATCTATCATGGATCGGCACAAGGTCCGCTGGCCAAACCCTCACAGATCATCAAGGCCGAGGAACTGGTGGAGGGCGCTCCTTATCCGCGTACTTTTGGCTTCTCATTATCTGGAGGCGTAGACATGGATGGCAATACATATCCGGACTTGGCGGTTGGCGCGTATGCCGCTGATCAAGTGTTCATATTTAAAGCACGTCCCGTAGCTGCTGTTAATGCTGAAACGACATTTTCCAATCCCTCAAAGCTGATTAACCTGGAAGAGCGCAACTGTCAGCTGCAACGTGATCACTCAAAAGTACCCTGCATGGAGTTGACCACTTGCTGGAGCTACACCGGAAAGTACCTGCCCGAGGAGCTGGACTTTGATGTATCCTGGGTGCTGGATGCAAAGAAGACGCGCAATCCTCGTATGTTCTTCCTATTAGACGAGGGCAAGAACATTCGAAACCAGACCATTCGCCTCGCCTATGGACGTCGCTACTGTCGCAATGAAACCGTATATCTAATCGACAACGTACAGGACAAGCTGACGCCCTTGGAAGTGGAAGCGCGATATAATCTGCGCAGCAGACGCCAATTCGAGCCTGTCGTCCGACGCAAGCGAGACGCCTTGGAGCCCGTCATCGATCAGAATCGCGAAATTGTGCTCCGCGACGCCATCAATATACAGAAGAACTGCGGTCCGGACAATATTTGCGAGCCGGATCTGAAGCTGGAGATAAAGTGAGTAACAAATATATATGACGGGGGTTCGGTATAAGGTCGCACTTAAAAATTCTTAAAAATAATATGAATGGCAGGACTTGACCCAGCTAAGATATCGAACTAAGTATTATACATTACTTTCTGTTGCAGAACTGTGGACAAATATTTGTTTGGTTCGCCAGAGCCTCTGACCTTCGACGTGCTTATATCAAACGGCAACGAAGATGCCTTTGAAGCAGCATTTTATATGGTAATGCCGAGGGAACTGGACTTTAAGAAGCTGCAGCAGCTGGGCGACAAGAACGATCCACCGATCACATGTACCGCTCCCTCCCCTGCCAACAACTATACGCTCAAGTGCGACATTGGCAATCCTCTGCAGGGACAAAAAGTGGTAAGTGTAAAGCAAATGGGACATGGAATCAGAGTTGTAGGAACAAATTCAATCTCCTCTTTGACAGGCTAACTTCAGGGTGATATTGACGCCTGCCGAGAAATTTGGCAGCTCACGCAGCTACGAGTTCTTCATGGAGGCCAACTCGACGAATCTGGAGAAGCCCAATTCTCACTTCGACAACATAATACGCAAGAGTATTGGCATCTGGGTGGACACGGATCTGGACATCCGAGGAAATTCGGTTCCCGATTTTGCACCTTACAAGGCCAGCGACTACAAGGCCGTAGAGAATGCGACGAACGAGAACGATTTGGGACCGCACGTAGTACACATCTATGAGATACGCAATAATCGCCCATCGATCATTGAGGAGGCGGTGGTTCTCATCTATTATCCCTACGAGACGATTGCTGGGGATCCGCTGATGTATGTCCTTAAGCAGCCAGAAGTGGGTGGCAACATTCGCTGCGATCCTCATAGCTATGTCAATCCACGTAACCTTAAACTCGATGAGGCTCTCTCACGCAAGTCCTTCCTACATAGCGATAGTTCGAGTGCCGCCGCTGATGCTGCAGCCATTGGCGGAAGTACGGTTGTCATAGGCAGTGGCGCTGCCGGCAGCGAATCAGGTGGCCATATTGAGATATCGCAGAGCAGCCAAGCTGGAGGAACCGTACACGTTGGCCGAGGTGGCACACGCCTGTCGCCTAAGGAGAAGGAGCTGTTGGAACGCGAAGATGCCCAAGATGTCTCCGGTGATGCTTCTTTTGTTCACTCGTTCCGCGCCAATCAGGCTGCTGCCGAACAGGAAACTGGTGGAGCGAGCGGTGCGGACGGTGGTGGCTGGTCAACCTGGTCATCGTCATGGAACTCCTCTGCAGGTGGTGCTGCTCCAGCCAGCGTGGTGGTTTCAGCCAAGAACGTCACCACCTACTATGATGACAGTGGACGGCCGCATGTCGTGGAGAGTAGCACCGAGTATGTTCACAATCTGGAACGTGGACCGGCGCAGCAGTACGTGCAGCATGCCTCTCTGGGAGGTGTACGTGGTGGCAGTTCCCACGGTGGCAAAGCACACAGCACCCAAGGGCACATACAAATGGCCGCACCCAGCGGACAAAGCAGTGGCTATCAGCAGACCTTTACCCAGGGGGCAAACTATCAGCCCCGACAGTACCAACAGCAATCGCAACAGTCCCAGCAACAGATCCAAAGCCCGGCTGGCTATAGCGACTATGCGGGTGGCCAGTCAGCCGATAAGTCTATTCATGCGGGACGTGACGGCTTTCGGACAGGCACCCTCGACTTGGGCACTATTGATCGCACCAATGTGGACAATGAACTGCGCAACCGTGGTGCTGGTGGCGCTGGAGGAGGCGGAAGCAGCAGCAGCAGCTATAGCACCCAGTACGGCAGTCGTCCGGGCACAGTGCACCACCACGAGACTGTCTATAGCTCAGGTTCGAAGCCTTATTACGGCCGTGAAAATGAGGATTACTATGATGAGGACAATCTGCTGCAGCAGCAGCAACAACAGCAATTGAGCAACGCTGGCGGCGGTGGTCAGCAACAATGGTCCAGTTCATCGTCTCAGCGTCGCTTCCGTCGCGCTGATGGCCCCACATCTAGCTCCAATGGGGAACCCAAGCAAGTGGACTTAAACTCACCCTGCAAGGCGGCCAAGTGTGAAACTCTGCGCTGTGTTGTCAAGAATCTGGATGAGAAAGAGGCGGCCTATGTAGCCATACGCACTCGCCTGGTAGCCCACACCATGGAGAAGATCGCCTCGAATGTACCCCTAAATGTGTCCACGCTGGCGGTGGCGCATGTGACCCTACTGCCCTTCATTGGCCGTCCCAAGGACGAGATCAAGAAGTCATTCGAGATATTCTACAAGGCGGTGCCAGAGCCCACGCCCACGCCTGATGTGGTGCCTCTATGGGTGGTCGTTCTTTCGGCGTGTGCGGGTGCGCTAATCTTTTTGCTGCTCGTCTTGGCGCTCTACAAGGTGAGTTCACTTAGAATTTTCATTTCAATCGTTAACTAAATTCTTGATTGTTCTGCAGTGCGGCTTCTTCAATCGAAATCGTCCAACAGATCACTCGCAGGAGCGACAACCCCTGCGCAATGGCTACCATGGGGATGAGCATCTGTAGATATCGTAGTCTGTAGATGCTTAACCGCCCACCAGTGCCAGTCCGTAGTTAACAACGACTTTGGAACGATTAACACATCGCACTAGAAGTACTAAACATTAGAAAACCCGTAACGAGATTCAGCGAAAACCCCTTCTACTAATACGCGCTCAGAAGTGATCTATCGGAGGCATGAGCGCGATTTAAAAACTACAACAACAACGTATAACTGCTAGTCACGAAATTTTAATAATTTTCTTTTTCAACGAGAGCGCCAGAGAAAATAATTTCACACACAGCTTACCTTTAGACGATGTTCGAACGAAGCTGCAATTAATTTGATTAATTACAATTTTTTTTTTTTTTTGTTTGGTTTGTTTTATCAATCCATGCTAACATTTTATGTGCTATATTTGAATCTTAACAAAGAGCGTTATTTTAAGGAGTGAGTGCGTGCGTGTATGGGTGCGTGAGTGAGTGTCGCGTGATTTGTGTGTTTTCTAGTTAATATGTGTATTTAGGACAGAATAGAGAAAAAATGAGATAGAGAAGTGTCTAACTGCCACAGCCACAGATAAAATAGAAACAAATCCCGAGTTCTAGATACTACTATATATCCTGTACCCAAAATGACTTCAAAATTAAAGAACCTTCTCCTTTGAAGCTGAGAAGGAGTTTGGTTTGCAAAAAACAAACCCTATCGTTATATTCGAGTATATACATATACATATACTTACTCTTCTCTTTTTATCTATTTGCCTTTTTTCCGAGTACAGGGTATATACATATATATATATTTATATATATAAAACAATGCGTTAGGTGCTACTCTATAGTTATAGATATCTTATGACCATTTGAAATTGTTGGTGTATTGATGTTTTCCCTTTCAAGTTCTCCCCCTTTTTGAAACTAGATGGCCAAACTCAAAGTTAGGCAATTCAAAAACAAACAATAACTTGTTGAAAAAATGAAGAAAAATTTTAATAGTTCATATATATATATATATAAATATATATGTAGTACATATATAATTTTTTTTTGTTTAGGTTGTACAATATAATTTTTTGTAAATACTAAAAAAAAGAAATAGAAAGTGCAGCATTGAGTTAAGAAACTTGCATTTATTTCTTCACTACACCGCAAGAAGTCGAGGCCCAGAAAATGGAACCGCACTCCTTCTTTTGGTGTACTCTCGAAATACATAGGAACCGCTCGAACGGGGGAGTGCGCACTTGTTTGTGTTACCGGGTGGCTTTACATATTCTGCCCAATATATTGCTATTAATTAATTAATTAATTGTAAACTGTGTAATTTTACTAACGGAATCTCCGCAACTCTTGCTTGCAGTTAGTTTTGTCAAATTGTTCGCTATTATTTAATTTATTAACTGTACTTATTAACGCGCGTTTTTCAATGATTTGTATTAAACGAATAATTGTTAATTTAAGGACTATGAAATAAAAAAAATCGATTATAATAAAAACAAAACAAATGCAAGCTAATTTCGATCATACAATTTCAAATCCGACTAATCCAGATCAGATATTCTTGAAAAACAATCGTTTTTTAACCTTTCACATACTCTTCCCCTATAAATTATTACTGTAAATAGTGGATGTCTTTTAAAAACTCTATCTTTTAAAGCTCTTGGATGTGAATAGAACATTTCTTCATCTATATAGCCATTTTGGAATAAAACCTGCAATCTTTAAATTAATTTTATGAAGTTTTTCAATTCAGTCCGAAATAAAAATTTAATTGTTCAATACTTGATTCAATAACGTGCATCTCGTAACTATAATATCGATATTGGTAATTTCATAACAAATTTCTCGACTCTTGAATAAACATTTTCAATAGGAGGCTTTTCCTAAATTTCAAATCTACCACAGATAAGATAGATAAATCACAATTATGGTTACGATTTCCTTATAAATATATAAATATATTTAATATTTTATTAGATTTATTTGAAGTATTACAAACGACATTTAACATCTAAAACATTCCTTTTGAAGAATTTCAGGTGTTTTTATCTTTTTTTTTTCACATACACTCTATGTAAATAAATAGTTGCTAGTAGATACATATGTACATACAAATGGCATATATACAGTACATATATACATAAGGAGTCTAATATCAAATGTCTTCATTGTAATAACAACAACTATAAATAGGTGTAGCATACGAAGAAATTCTATTCTTCACATTTGGATAAGGAGGTGTGATTTAATTGCTACTTAGGTTAATTATCTAACATTCACAAATGGGTCAAGCCGGGGCCTACTCTCCAATTTTCTATCGGGCGTCGTAAGGCACATGACTGCTTTTAATATCCACATTAAACATACGAGACCATTCCGCGATTACATCAAACTATAACAAATATGGGTACAAATAATGTCAAAATCCACCCTCAAATTTATTTGGTTGTATTACTTACATCGCGCTCCATGATGTTGTCGCAGAAACTCAGGTCCAATAATTGTAATTTGGGACAGTTTACCAAAATGCTAGAAGACATACACACTTGAACAATACATATAGGTATTTGAAACTAAACTTAACTTACTCGTAGATGCGCTCGCGAGTTATATTTAGTATGCCCATCAAGTCGAGCTGTTCTAGATTCTTGCCCAAGGTCGCGATGTGCACGAGATCTCGTTCGGTGGTGCCGCGCACCGCAGATAAAAACAGTTTCTTTAGCTTGGGGCAGTTAGCCAACAGCTGGTACAGTCCATCGCCAAGCGAGGCCTCGCGCAAGCTGAAAGTTATAGAGGATTGTTAAATTGTTCGAAGCTGGCAGGAGTGTAGGAGAAAGGACGGCTTTCGACTCACCACCAGCCTAAGTCGAGCTCCTCGAGCTGCGTACAGCGCGCAATGGACTGCAGACCGCGTGCGGATAAGAAATGCGCCTTCCACATGTCCAGTGAGATCAGTTGTGTGTTGTATGTGGCCAGATGCGAAGCCACATTGTCCATGTTTACAGAGACGCCGCAAAATGCTGCAGGTTGAAACAATCAATTAATTATTAAATATTTAGTATAGCAAAATTTGTTTAATTCTTATTGTTGAAATAAGGATCTAGTGCGATTCCTTTCTATCTGAGCTTTTATTTTGTGAAAGCTACAATTCAAAAAATGTTTTCTTTAAGCCCAGCTGTTTCAAATCTTTCTGGGGTATATGCTATTTAAAAACCAAGTAGATCCATTGCTTACCCAAATTCAAATGCTTCAATTTGCGATTTCCCTCCAGCATGCTTAGGAGTAGTTCGGATTCGAAGGCCGTTTGAAACAAGTCCAGGCGTTCCAGATTTTTTAGATTTGCCAAACATGAGAAGTTAAGCAATGGTGGATCCGTGGCACAATTACGCAGACTGAGCTCTGCAATTATAAATTTGGAAAGACGCATGAATAGAAAAGTCCGGGAGAGAGAAAGAGAGAAATACAGAGCGAGAAAGAGATGGAAAGGTGGATAGCATGTGCAAACCTGTCAAATTATCACAGACTATGCCGACTGTTTCAATACAGGTGGCATTAAGAAATTTACAGGAGTTGAGCCGCAGGTGGGTGAGGTTATCGCCTCGTTGGGTTAGGAATCTGTAAGTAAAAGAAATATATCAAGGGCTTAACTAGCGACATCATTCACACTAACTTTTTAAATTCGGTGGGCGAGACATCGCCAAAGCCACCACACCAGGAAAGATCGAGTTTCCGCAACATGGTAGCGCGTTTCGCCAGCGTGCACAACAGCTCCGAGTTGGCCAACTGCCAGTAGGGCTTTAAATTTAGCTCGCCGTAGAGCAGCGGATGCGTTGAGATGTCGTAGAAGGTGCGCGACACTTGCCCCACACAAAACAGCGTCTTGAGATCCAGGTAACTGAGAATCTTTAACAATATTTCGAACTGCAAACAAAATTAATTATCAACTAATTGCATTGGCAATGATATTGCAGTCAAGGCCAGCCCGTAATTTACCGGCAGATCTGTTAAACAAATATCTGGTACATTCGACGCCACTATTTGTGTTGTTGCTGTCGCCGACGCAACGTCAGATTCATCAACTTTGTTGTCCACAAGGAACTTGCTGAGATCATTGTTGATGAACTCGTGCAGCTTGAGGGCATAGTTGTCACGGCAGCTCGGCTGGAATTTCAGCGAACGCAGCTTACAGCTAATGGGACCTGTTCGCTGAAGTTCCTGCAGAGTGTGTTGCATGCGGCGCAACGAAACAGTCCGCCCACACAGCATGATAGCATCAACTTCTGTATAGTAGTGCAGACGACTGTGGTTGAAGTCGATGCGCAGCGTTCTGTGGAATGTATTTATTGATATGTGAAGCATCGTACTCAACAGGCGGTGCACTCACTTTGTAATTATGGAGGTTTTCTTGAGTGGGGGCGCAAAACGACGCGCCTCACGGGCTCTACTCTCTGCCGGGCCACTCTTGCTTAACTCCTCGGCACTAGCTTTCCACAGACATACCCAGTTCTTGGTAATGCTATGCGCCCATATGCGCACCACGGCGCCCGGATTATAGGTCTCGAAAATGGCCACTTCTGTGGGTACGACAAAGTCCTCAAAGTAAACAACTGCAAGGAAGATGTTAACATACGTCAGATTTGACAAAAACAAGAATCTAAATTAAAAATCAAAATTAAATGTTTTTATTGTGGTGCAATTCTTGGTTTCGATTCCCCCAATTGTTTTAAATGCTGTTTTTTTTTTTTGTGTTTTTAAAAGCGTATAATAAACTTAAAGAAACCTTAGGTTCTTTAACTTGAACATTATTTGAGATTTAGACCTGTTTTTGATAAATAAGCCCTAAATGTCGTCAGTGGCTTACCAATGTAATCATGTGTGGCGACCGCTGGCATATTTTGCGGTTGTATTTCGCGTGTGGCTGACGGAGCACGTTGCCACCAATCCCCATAGGTGCGCTGCAGAAGTGGGAAAGAGGGCGAGAATGTGCGGATAATAGAGGATTTAGAAAAACTAATAGTTATGGTGCGAGGTTAGCTGACTCACCATTGTGAAGGTCTCAGGGTAATCCCCGTAGGCAGGAAATTTGGTGGGTCGTCCTATGATATTGGCTGCCGTATAGGATATGCTATAGTCGATGCCGTATTGCGAGCTGAAGTCGAGCACACCCAGCACATACTGCTCCAAATGGTAGCCCTGCTCATTGTGATCATTTTGCATTTTGCCGCCACATCCCAACCAATTTCCATATTCGTTTTGGCGCTGCATCAGCATGGCGGTAAAGTCGATCAGAGCATCCGGCTCCGTATCGCTGGAGCTGACATCGTCGCCGTTATAGGCCAGCAGCGACATCGTTGAGTTCGGTTTGCTGCCACCGCTATCCGTGTTGCTGTCACCAGTGTTGTTGGGATTGTAGTAGCTGCGTCCGTACCTAAGCCTCAGCGTATCGTTTGCTTGAAAAAATAATCGTCGCTCATCAACATACCAACGCGACCGCCTTGCATAATAACGCGCAGTGGCTGCGAGCGAGGGTGCTCGCTGCTCCTCCTGCTCCGGTTTGAAATAGTTGCTGTGGTGTAAACGCAGGCCAAATGTAATTTTGGCGTTCTTTTACTAACGCAGGCACCGATGATGAACACAACAACTTGAAAAGTTGTTGTGCTCACAAGCTGTGCTGCGTCCTTGAAAACGGTTTTTTCGTTCGAATTGTTCGTCCTCGTCCTTGCTGTTGTCTGTCGACGCGCTCCAATGTCACCAGCTAGCAGACTTGGACAGCTGTCCTTGAGCTTGAAGCCTGTGTTGTTTTTTTTTTTTTTTAGAACAAGCGAGCGAAGCGGTAGACACTACACGTTTTCTTGCCAGGCGCCAACTGTTTAGTGTATGTAAATGCTTAAGCAAAGGCAAATGTAAAAGCAAAAGAAAGAAGCGAAGAGCTCAATAAATAGTGGGGTTCAGAACTAATCCAATTAGTGGGCCCCGTTTGCAGAATTTGTCCTCCGCTTTGTCCAATTATGATAAAGTCGTCGCTGATGAATTGTTTAACGAACTTTGGCAACAGATGCGGCCAATCTTTTTGTTGTTGTCGTTCTCGTCGATCACGGCTTTTGCTTCTGTTTCTGCTTCAGTCGATGTCCTTTTTCCACTTTAATTAACGACGAATTTTGAGAAGAAACAAAATGTAGAACAAAAAAATTTGGCACGACACAAAATGAAAACAACCAGGGCTGCAACATTTAATTCAGTCGATAACATTGAAGCCTTTGGTAACGGCTGAGCAAATTATAGGTTAGGGGCGCTAGACACGATAAGACTGCTTGGAGTTGCAAAATACATTTGTAGCGCCTGAGAAAATTCCGTACGTGTGCGTGATACTAAATTTTGAACATTTTTCAGATAATCAATCAACTTGATGATAAATAAGTTTCTTGGAGGATGAATATATCTTATCAAAATAAAGCTCTACTAGATAAAATTCCCAATGATTATATTATTATTTATTATTTCAGCTACGGATATTGCTAATAAATTTAAAATTATCGCGACAACTGATCAATTTGATTTCATATTATGCATATACATATAAGCAGGTGTGTCTGAACGTGTACACCTTCACGGCTTTAGTGATGGACTACAGCTGCTGAAGCAACAGCTGGTCGGTCAGTTGCGCTGCTGCTGTTCCATGCGATTGTTGACAACTAATTTGTTGTTGTGGTTTGCTGGTATTAGGAGTTACCACACCCGAAGGATGCCAGTGAAGAAGGAGGAGCCGGCTCAGTGCCTTAACTATCGTAATAAACTTATTTTGGCGCCCATGGTGCGAGTGGGAACTCTGCCCATGCGTTTGCTGGCGCTTGAAATGGGCGCCGACATTGTTTATACCGAGGAGCTCATCGATTTGAAACTCATCAAGAGCATACGGCGAGTTAACCGTGAGTTACGACCACAGATTGTATTTGCTCTGATTTCCCACCAATCTGATATTCTTTTCCTGCAGCTGCGTTGGGTACTGTGGATTTTGTGGATCCTTCTGATGGTACAATTGTCTTCCGAACCTGTGCTCTGGAGAAATCACAGCTGGTGCTCCAAATGGGAACAAGCGATGCCGCTCGTGCTCTGGCTGTGGGCAAATTGGTGCAGCAGGATATTGCCGGCCTTGACATTAATATGGGCTGCCCCAAGGAGTTTTCCATCAAGGGCGGCATGGGCGCAGCCCTACTCTCGCAACCAGAAAAGGCGGCTCACATATTGCGGAATCTGTGCACAAATCTAGACATTCCGGTTACCTGCAAGATTCGCATACTGCCCCAAGTAGAGGACACAATACAACTTGTTCGTCAGCTTGCGGCCACAGGTATTGCTGCAATTGGCATTCATGCTCGGACGCAAGCAGAACGCCCGCAACATCAGCCACATCCCGATGTGCTGCGTGCCGTGGCCGATGCTGTCGATATACCCATTATAGCGAACGGAGGTTCCCGCGATATGCATGCCTATGAGGATTTGTACAAATTTCAACGTGAATGCGGCGCGGATAGTGTCATGGTTGCTCGGGCCGCCCAGATCAACGTCTCCATATTCCGCAAGGAAGGATCATTGCCCATGGATGAAATTATCTATAAGTATTTGCGCCTTTGTGTAGATTACGATAATGCGGCACACAATACGAAATACTGTGTGCAGAACATACTAAAAGAGTTGCAGGAATCGCCACGTGGCAAGCAGTTCCTGCAATGCCAAACGCTCCAGCAAATGTGGTGAGTGTCTGGAAATCCTTTATACTACTCTAATTATTTTACTGTCCAAGGTTTTCGTGGGCTGCGATCAGAAGATTCCTCAAGGGTCGTTAATAGAAACAAACATGGTGCAATTGGTTATTAGTTGGGGGTGCTTCACTATAAATATTGTAAGAGATGTGCCTGTCTCTAAATCTGAATCTCTGTCTGAATCGTGTATGTTTGTTTTATTCTTTTAACCTTGAGTTGGGTGCAGCGATCAAGACATCTATTATGCGACCCTTGTTATTTTTGGAAACTTTACAAGTTTAAACAATATGTCTGATCATGTATTTATAAAAATGTGTACAACTTTGCAGCGAACTTTGGCAACTGGGCGATTATTGCAAGCGAAAGCAACGTGAGCTAAAAGCGAAGGGCAATTTGGGACGACATGATGTTGTGCCCGGATCGAATCTGGCGAAACGGGCCAGGCTTGAGGGGAATGAAGATGCATACGCAGGTGTTATGCAACGAAATGTGGCCTTTCTACGATCCACTTACGCAAGTGGTAAGAACATTTTCATGCTTGGCAAGTGTAACAATTTTGCTGAAGAGCCTTGTACCTGCAGATAATGAGTTGCCAAAGACGGTGCTTTATGTGCACGCTGGACGTGAGGGGAATGAGACGCCCACATACGAGACTCAACGTTGTGACAAACTCTTCCGCGCTATCTGCAGCTACGACGGGCAACGGTACAGCAGCAGTTTCTGGGAAAAAAACAAGAAGCAAGCGGAACAAGGAGCGGCTCTCGTGGCGCTTCTGGAGCTGGGAATTGTGCAGGAGACAATACTTTGCGAAAATGGCAGTCTGATCAGTTAGCAAAGTCAATTGTGACATAATAATAATTATTATTTCTTTATTAATTTCCTAAGAGTGTGTGTGTCTCTCTCTCTGTTCATCCTCTGTTTCTTGCGCTCTCTTCTCGATTATATGCTTCTATATATCACTGTCTGCGCTGCGTTGCGTTTGGAGGCGGGGGCATCATGTCATGATCGTCACGATAGCCATAAGTTGATATATAGTCCAGCAGAATTTCCTTGGTGATCGGATGTTTTATGCTTTCGACGACAGCTGCAAGAGATTTCCAAAACTGGATTATGAGCGAACAGTATGTGGCTATTGAGAGCTGTTTATCTTACCCATGGCCGTGTTATAGCTGTTGGGTAATTTTTTGTCCGTACGCTCCCTCATGAACTCCCAATTGCCGCGTAAATTCATCGTACACTCTACGATCTTGTTGTCCAATTCACGTATATCCTTTGTGAGCTTCTGAAGATGGCCGAAGGGTACATCATGGCCGCCAACATATAAGAATCCTACTTTTTTTGTGAGGAGACTGCCAAGAAGTTATACATTAGAAAGTAAAATAATGGAGAGCATAATGTGTGGCTTACCCCTCGCCACTCTCTGTGATAATTTTAAGACGAAAATCGACAGAGTTAAGTTCGTGTGGCTTCCATTTAAAGACATCGCTGCAGACGCCGGCTTTGTAGGGCTGTTGCGATGGCTGAAAGATGAGGCCATCCGGTTCATGGGCTAGCGATCGGGAGAACTTCTCGCCCAGCAGTGAGGCGGTTACGTTGATTTCCCAGAAGTCCTTGTTGCGCACACTAAACGGCTCCAACCCACGATTTATGATGCCGTGCTTCATGGCCTGGTAGCGCGGCTCTAAAAGAAGAGTCAACGGAGCATAAAGAAAAGCATTTGCAGAGACTGGCTTTAATTACCGATGACCTCCTTCTTGATGTAGTTTAAGCGATTGGGGAAGAAGTGCGTTTGGCTCACATCGTGGTTGTTCAGACGCACAATATCATAAACGAGATATCGCGGCGTGTACGAGTCCCCAACCTTATCCAGCACCATTTCCTGCAAAGAAGAATTTAAAATAATGATGATTGATTAATGCTTAATGCCACTTACGCCATCAAGTAAAGTATTTTCAAGATGCTCGTTCAGATTGTTGAGACGCACAAAAGTAATGCCCTCGACCTGAAAGCACGAGTGATTACGATCGAAAAAGAATATCTCGTCTCGCTTGTTTATGAGCATCATGTAACGTGTGCCGTCTGCTTTCCAGGAAACACGATATGGCATCTCGTGCAGTCGCTTAATATTGTGCCTGTCCATACTGATTGGCTGTGCGCCTGGGAAGCCATGTTTGTTCCAGTTACACCACTCCTGCACCTTATACTGCAGATCGGAGAGACGCGGCTGATCCGTCACTTGACGCACGCCAGGCACACCAGACATGAAGGCGGCGTTCTTAACGACCATTTCGCGACGTCGCTTTCGTTTCGCTGTAGAACCATCGGCATTGCTTCCATCACCTGCTTCTTCACCTTCCAGGTCGTCATCATCCTCGAGGGTGGATGCGGCGTTTGCGCTGGACGTGCCCGCAGATGATGCCGCTTGAGATGTGGACGAGGTATCGTCATCGTATTGACGCTTTCTGCTACTTTCCTGCGCATTTCCATTGCTATCATCGTACTCTAAACACCAGTGGGGTTGCTCCGGCGCCTGTGGTGCGTATTCTTCGTCCTCGTAACGACGGAAGAGTTCATTGATGTAGTCTTGTTTATAAATGCCAGGTGGGCGGGCATTGGCAAATATGGCCATGGCAGCCTCCACAGAGCAGTCCAGACGTTCCACCATATAGGAGACTATGAGAAATCCAGTTCGATTGAAGCCATGTGTACAGTGCACTGCAATCACATCGAAGGGACGTTCGTTGATAAAGTTGTCGACAATTTCGATAAAGGCGTGCGTTTGTTCCGGAGATGGCGTCTCGCCGTGCCCCCGACACTGCAGTTTTATGTATTGGGCGCCTCGCCCCTCTACCGTAGCACGATCATAGAAACGCTTTGTGTTCGTCAAATCCACCCACATACCCAGCTTCAGCTGCAAAACACAACGGTTGTGATTAGTGAAATATAAACATACGGTTATGGTGTTTATTAGTACCTTCAATGTTTTGCAATAGTCGAACAGCATCTCGGGCAGAAATGTGCACTCAATGGGCATTTTGTCCTGGAAGGCCTTGCTGAGTGGCGTTTTGAAAGCGAGGAAACGTTCGGCAATAATTGAGTCGCTTTTTCGTGGACAATACAGCCAGCGGTTGGGCAATGGCCCGGAACCTCGTTCCCGTTGTTGAGACATGCTGCAGCAGCTGCACCTGTGCCTCGGTTAGAGTTGACAGTGACAGTACCTGGAGGATCTGCAGCAGGCACAGGCATACGCAAGCGATTTGCTCGTGTGTGTGTGTATGGGGCCACTGGGCCAATTCTGTCGTTTACGAGGCTCTTGCCGGCTGCCAATTATTGTTGGCTTCTCTTTGTCGAAACCAACCTGCCTGCCAGCACCTGTGCTCCGTTGTTTTATAATTTATATTGCGTTTTTTAACTACTTCACATTTTCACCAAAAATAAAAAATTGAAAAACCTAAAGCAGGCAGCGTAGACAGAGTGGCCGCTTTGGTTTGTGTGCGTCCCTGTGTGCGTGTTGTGACGAAGAGTGTTGCCACCGATAGCTCGCAATGCCACAAAACAGCTGGAGGCAAGTTGGCAACGCGTCTCCTTTAGACCAACTACTCGCACAATTGCGTTGCACTTTTTGTAGGAAAGTTTTTACAATTTCATAGATATTGAATATTGATGCGGATGCTGAACAATTATTTAATTTGATATTGCACATATGCTGAAACGTCACAGTGCCAATCGATATACGATGCTGCCGCAAAACGATTATTCAACACGCCAGTAAATATATTAGCCATATCGATAGTACCGATAAATATTTGCATGCACGTTGGTATAAATTCAAAATGTGGACAGCACCCCAAAATATCCATATCAAAAATAAATTATTTCATAATTACATTTACAGGTGCTTGCACTGCTGTTAGCGATACAGCTTAACCACTGCACATATCTGTGGCAATTACACAAGCTGAAAATTATTTACTGGAATGTAAATAAACAAAAATGCTCATACTGAACGCATTATTATTGTTAAATCTGCTACTTAAGACTTGACAAAAGTAAACAAATGCCGTGGCAGCGGTAAAAACAACAACAGCCACAGAGAGACGAATCATCGTCGCTGCTTTTTCTGATGAGCGGAACGCTTCGTTTTTCATTCAATCGATGATCATTGGCCGAATTTCATTGCTAATTTTGCGTTTCACCCGAATGCGATTGCTAATTTTTTTGCTTGCTAGATTTTCGCGTATTCTCGTGTATGTTTTATAGTGAACTGTGTGGTGTTATTAAAATAGTGTATATATATTTTTCTTTTTATTTCACACCACTCGAAATTCAAGAATTTTAAAAGCAATGGCCACCAATGCTGTGTCCACTCCAAGAATCTTAACAAAACCTATAAACAATCCACAAATAACGGTCACAAATCCCGAACGCATAACAACAAAAACAAAGGCAAAGCCAGAACCAAAATCACCGGACACTTTGGCAGCTTTGGTGGCCAGAAAGAGCTTAACATCCATGTCCGACGAGGAGATTATACAGGAGAATCTCAAGGAAATACTTGATAAGCAGTCTCGCGTATGTATTTTAAACACTCCAACAGTATTTCTCATGCTGCACAAAGCCCCACCAAAATGTTTCAGTATGCAAGTGTGTGTGATTGACAGATTCCTCCACCTAAATAAGTATTACCTTGATTTAAAAAAGGAAAAAAGAAGAAAAACTTTCATGCTCACTATGATGCCGTCATTGAAATGCCAATGGACCAATTCTTTGTAAGTTGTTGCCGTGGACACCGGACAGCCGTGGGCCATGGCAATAGTATCAATGTATTCCATACGACGCCATCGTATGTGCGCGGTTTAGTATATATAGTATATATATTTATATATTCATGATCTCGAACGGAAGAAAAGTTTATAAACAAAGTTTTTATGGGCGGCTGCTACACACACACACTTACAGAAACGCATTCATGTTATTTTATGAATTGGAAAATTTGCGCCCTCCTAACACTAAACATCCTCCATATACATATGTATATCTATATATTTATGTATTTTTTAAAGGAGGAACGCAAAGCTAATGGCCGTCTGGTAGCCGTCATCTTAGCCTTTTTGGGTAAGTATTGTTAACAGAACGTACGAACAATGTCCAGTAGAGTTAGAGGGCTCCCTACTATGCCAAAACCAAAATTATAAAAACAACTTTATATTGTATTCAAATTAATTTGATTAGACAATATAGAGTTCCCCAAAATATCAATTAATATTTGTATGTATTTCTTCCTTAGAGTTACGTATAGCAAGCAATCCAGATAAAATTTAAGGAATTTCAGTTATAATTATAAATACTACAATTATTCATATTACAATAAATTTCACTACAGTTATCTTTGTGGCCATCTACCATGCATGGATTCGGAAAACCGCCGCATTAGCAGGTATGCTGGTGCCTGCCGGCATAATGATCTCGTACGGAGCTTGGGTGGTTATCCTGGCAAAGCGTGATAAACACAAACGTGCTCTCTTTGTAAGTTAGAACCAGCATCCTCATTAGCTCTAGCCCTTAATTTTCTGCCTCTCCTTCACAGGAGCGTCACATTGAAGAGGTGGCGCTAAAAAACAAGAATGAACTGGAGGAGAAGCACTCACGCTTGAAGCAAAAGTCTGAGGACCCACAGCCAAGTGGGAGTGCTGCTACCACATTGCAGTATGTGAATGAACTGATGCCTGGTCGGGAGCATCGCAAGAAGCCGCGGCGTCACAGGTCGAGACAACAGCCTGCCGCTGATGCCTCTGTTGTCACAGTCCATAGGAGCCATGGGAAGCGTCCAAGCATTAGACAAAAGCTTTTTGGTCAAACCATTGCCCATGTCAAGCTTATGGAGCAGCATCGGGATAGTGTCGACTCCACAACGACGACGACAACACAAACTGCAGATGGAGATGCTTCCGCCCTGGAGCTCAGCGAGAAGCGCAAACGTCTCCAGCGTCTGGACACGCTGCCCATGCCCCAAGTGGTGCGCATGAACTCCGCACCGTGACAGAGGCAGTGCCTTCACACACAAGTAGATAAGGGTAAATAAATGTATTATAAAAAATATAAACAGGAAATTCGATTTATAAATAAATGCCCATCAACAGAAGGAAACGATCGCAATAAAATCGATTTAAAATATCTACCCGTGCATACAAACAATATGTATGTACATACATATGTACTATATACATATGTATGTATGTATGTATGTAAACATATTAATCGTCTAGCAAATTTATTGTGCACAATTGAACTAAATTTGAAATTGTTGTAGAGACTGTCCAGATGAAATATTAAACTAAATCTCAAACTGGAATGTTAATTAGCCCTAATCCTAAACAGCATCAGTAAGCATTACTAATCTTTATACTTGTAAGTGCTCTTCTTGTATACTACATTGCTGTTTAACAAAATAGCGTTACAAGTTCATATTTTACTGCAACATTTTACTATTTATTATGCTCAATAAGAGCGGTTTCAGTTTTTCTTTCTTAAGTATTTCTTATATTTGCACGTTTTTCTATTGTTCATTAATATCTACGTATGTATGTAAATACATCCATATGTACATACATATGTAAACAGCCGTGCGTGCCCTCTGACACGCATAGGTTGTGTAGATTTGGGAAATGGAATGTAATAAATAGCGTGCCCATTGCCAATGCCCCCGACTCCACACCATTTGCGGTTTGGGTTTATCTTTTCGATTTACAACACAAGCATTGTTTGTATGCAAATACATACATACATATGTACATACCAAGACGGAGGGAGTCTATTTATTATTGACGTTAATAAATTTTAATGGTTTACATGTGCGGCAGTCAGACCACATGCCGATAATTCGCTACTGTATCTATTTGAGGAATTTCCGCAAAAACAATTTGTTTATTGATTCCGTTCGTCAGTGTAATACACAAAAACATACTTGATGTACCTACTTGTTGTTGTCATTTATTTGTTGTTGATGTTCTTATTTAGGCGGTTGTTTACGATATTAAACGGCTGGCAGGCAAGAGATGAAATTTAAAATCGCAGCTACGCCGATTAGTGTTGGAAATCGATTGTAATCGAAATGCACTACGACTTTTAAGGATTTCACGAGTTGGCAGCACGACTACCAAAGCCATTTAAAATAAACGACGCGCTCGTATTTCCGGGTTGTTTGTTTCGTCGGAGCGTCACTTTAATTTCGTGTCAGACGATTTTTGTTTGTCAAAATCTCTAGTTGTAGATGTATTTTCTGTAGTAATTATTATTTGTTAAAAGGCGTCGCCAGTCTACATTTATATGTAAAAGTGAGAAATTTTGTATTGAATTTTGTTGTGCGATAAATGTACTTAATTATTAATAAAGTTCGCACATGGTAAAATATTAAAATAAGTGTGAAACAAAACGTGAAAAGCACCGTTACAGGCAATTGTAAGCTATTACGTTTTATTGTTTGCATCGCCGGTAGTATAACTGTTAAATCAGCCTAGCGGAGCCGGCAGCTGCAAGACGCGCACGGCGCGCGCGCGTATTTAAGTTTTTTTTTGATTATTTCTTTGTGAAAATGGATTTGCGTAGCTGGAAGAAAGTGTTACTGCAATGGGTAAGTGTCCGTATGCATACATACATATGCATGTACCTGCATCTAATAACTGCTTGTCTGTGGTACTAATTGCAGGTCAGCGAATGCAGCTTTATAGAGAAGAATTATATGTCCATCGAACAGACGGACCTTGAAGGCTTCTTTGCCGTCTATGTGCAGAATACTCAACTAGCCGCTCATGGCCCGCCACAAGCGCACAATGGATGTAATTTGCAAACGTTTCTGCGAAGTGAGTAAACAATTTCGACAATGTTTTAGTGTCCTTATACGGCTTAACATTTTTGCTATTAATATATATGTCTACAGACATTTATCCTGACTTTACGCCACATTACGACAACCGCGGTAATGTGATGACCAGCGACTACCTGTATGTCTATACACTTCTCATGCACTACGCATGCGTGAGGTGTCCGAATGAGTACTTCCATAGTATTTGCAAAAAGCTACCGAACCAAATCCAGCAATGCATTAAGGGTTTCTTCGAGCAGACTGTGCAGCTTCCTGAGGTGCCTCTAACACGGGATCGTCTTCGTCAAGTCATTGCCAATGTAGCGTGCCTCTTTCGGCGCAGCAGTATTTCTGTATCTGCGGCTGCTAGTGTTTTGGAGGGCAGCACAAACACCATAAGCAGCACTCCACATGCTCGGCCATTGCGCAGGTTCTTCAGAAACAAGCCCAATACTTCACCAACTCACAGTCCTGCCATTTCGACTAGTCCTATGACTCCTCGTGCCTGTAGAACTAGCGCCGGCTCGGATGAGTGCGCAAACGTAAGCGATATTAGTGATACATCAGCAGCAACTAGCTACTTTGGTGCTGAAAGCCCTGGAGAGGAATTTGTAACGCCTGTAGACACACGCGCTTTTGTACATACGCGGTCCGCGGAACCGCCATTGACCCCCAAAACAGAGCTTTTGGAAATTTGCCATCGAGAAGTTACCGGGCTAAAGGTAAGTTACGAAGCTCGAAACATAACCACTAACTACATATGCATAAATAACATGTTCTAGGCTCAACTGGAAACAGAACGGTATGAGAAGACAATGTTACTGGAGCAAATGAAGGATAACAGCAGTTTAATAGCAGCTCTCCAGTTAGGTAAAGTAATAATAAAACTCCCCTATTTCATACTAAAACCTTACACATGTGTAGTTCATAAAGACAATCATAAAAGTGCCCCCACTTCTCCAATTACCACAGAGAACGAAAACAAACAGAAACACTTGAACAACATGGATGATGATGGCAATGAATCCGAAGCGGTTCGCAACTACGTGCCCAATGATTTGGAACATGTAAGTTTCGATTTTATGGCTATACCATTTCAGTAGCAGGTAGATAGGCAAACTCACGCATACGACCTTCAACTAATAAATACCTACCTAATACCTACATGCATATAATTTCTAATATTCTACCTGGTAGCTTAAGAATCGTATGCGTAAGGAGATCGACACTAAGGATGATATCATTGCCAAAATCCAAGACAAATTGGAGGATGCTATTTTGGAGAATTCGGGCCTGGAGAACAAGGTATGTCGCAAATCTTTAGTGAGTTAAAAATAACTACAACAATATGGATAGAAAAATAGTGGAATCTTAACAGAGGCTATGTTTTGAGAATTGATATAATTTTATCGTTTGTTTGTAAGCCTTCATAAAATCTGTTTTTTTTTTTTTTTTTAATCGAGTAGGCTTTGACAATTATGTGTGTCAAATTTTCAGACAGATAGGCAGGGAAAAGACGAAATTTTGTTTGAAAAGTCTCTAACAAATCTCTAAAATTAATCTTGCAATTGTTTTCAATTTTTGCGAGTGGCTATTTGTCGTGCTTTTTAAAGTTATATTTAATCAAAATCAATAATTTTGTTAATTTGTATATTTCGGTTCTCTTAGCTGAAAATGTCTGATAAACAGATGCGCGTGTGCATGGATCGAATACGCGAGCTGGAGGTGCGCTCCGAAGAGCTGGCAGAAGCCGTGGCCAAGAAGGAGAAAGAAATTGCTGGCCTCGAGAGCGATAAGCTCGACTTGGAGCAATGCCTGCAGGAGATGCGTGATGCCATGCACAGCAAACGTGAAGTTTTGAACGCCTCATCTGATTTGCTCGATGCTTCGTTGTCGCAGGGAAGCATGAACACCACGCCAGAGAATCTAGGGAGTTCAGTGATTGACAAGCAGCTTCGCGAAAAGGAGCATGAGAACAATCAATTGCGCGAGGAGATTAAAAGTCTTCTGCATTCCAAGCAACGCATGGGTGAGGAACTCTGTGCATTAATTCGCGAGCAGGCGCAAGTATTTCATCTTGAAATCGAGTGCGACGACATGCTTGAATGGGGGCACAACTTGGAGAAGGAAGACTCGCAATTAAATCATATCGTACGCTACTTAAAATTGTTGAGTGCTAGTTATCAGAAGGAACAATATTTAGTCAAAGAACTGCAGGATCAGTCTGAGGGTCTATCCGAACGCAATAGTCAACTGGTTGATCATGTAGAGCTCATGACCAAAAACATAAATGCTGTCCAAAAGGAGCTTGCACTGGTTCTTCAGAACAACACAAATTTGGAGCGTTGTAAATTTGAATTGGAGCAGAGAATCAAGCAACAAGATGAAGGGCTCCAGCAAATAAATCAAAACAATGAGGTCTTGCGGGAAAAGGTCAAGGCTCTCACTCTTGAGCTACAGCAACGGGAGCAACTGTCGAAGGAGCAAGCCTTGGCTCAGAGTCATCATCAGACTCGCATGGAGCAACAGCTGGAAATGGCCAACAAGAAAGAACATCAATTGCAGGAACGTGTGACCGAGTTACAGACCAAATTGACAGCAAGCAAGGTTGAACACGATGGTGAGATCCGTCTCCTAAGTGCTCAACAGGAGCAACAGCGTCACGATCTTGCTGTACTCAAGGAGAAGCATGAGAAGCTGTTGTTGAAACATGAGGAATTGCGTCAGTGTTCATCGCAAACAGATAATCATCTGGCGCAAATGCGTCAGAACCTGGATGAGAAGGAGCATGAAATGGCTGAGCTAGGCCGTGAAATTCTCGAGCTGCGCACCAAAAACATTGAACTTGAATCGCGTATCAATTCTCTGATGACCGAACGCACCATTGAAATGGAGGCATCTCGCGTAAAATTAGAGCAGAAGGAGTTACGCATCTCCGAGCTGGAAGCGCTGCTGGAGAAGGATCGCGGTGTCCTAAGGCATGTTCGTAACAAATATCAGAGTTGCAAAAGCCAACTTTACAGTCACAACCAACGCATAGAAACAATGGCAAAGTTGGTTAATGGCTCGAATTGGGATGACGTAATAGCAAAGGTGGATACGTGTGTTAAGGCAAAACATTCCCTGAGGGAGCAGGTCGACTTACTTAAGAACAACAATGCATCCCAAATTTCGGTGATTGAACAGCTCGAGAAGCGCTTGCAAGCTGCGTTGGACTATCAACAGAGTATTGAACATAGTCATGAGCAACAGGTGCAGAAGCTGGAGATGGACGTGATTGCTGCACAGGATGCTAAAAACGTCGTCGAGGAGCGGCTCGAAGCGTCGCGTCAGCGCCATAATGAATTCATTCAGAAGATCAAGGCTGATCTTAAAACTCGTGAGAACACACTGAAGGAAACATTACTAGATAGAGAGCGCGATCACGACCAAAAACAGCAAGAACTTAAGCATATATCCGAATGCAACTCCAGGCTCACCGCTGAGTTGGAGCTAGTCAGAGAGCAGGCCAAGAAGTTCAGTTCTGAGGCTACGGAGATTAACAATCTATTCATGTTGCACATTGATCGTTTCTATGGAACAGTGAACAGTCTGGCGCGGGGCGGGGTAAGGCCGAGATCTCCAGCACAAGCATCATGTCATGGACGTTCTGATGGCGATAATAGTTCCCGTTTCTCTGAGCATTTCGATGCACAAATGCGTCGTCTAAACGATGCCGAAATCATGCTGGATGCGGTGCTCACCCAGAAGACGATGCTCATCAGCAGCTTGACTGAGGAGAAGCGCGGAGAGCAGGAGAAGCGGAATGCTTTAGAGGCTCGCCATGCTGCCGATTTGAAACGTTCAACAGCCCAGATTGCAGAGCTGCAATCTCAGATCAATGAGTTAAGCAAACAGAATGCCATAATTATTACCGAAAATCGTCATCACAATGCTCGCGTTCGTCACGAGCACGATCAGCGTGAACTGCTTATCTCATCGCTTGAGAAAACTGCTGAAAAACTTCAAATGGCATTGGCCCTGAAAGATGCCGAAGTGACGGCCAGCATGCGTACGGCCAGTGAGACGATGGAGCGGTTGAGTCAAGTAGAAGCGAAGTTGAAGGCTGAGTGCGCAACCTCGGCCGAGTTGTTGCAAAAATTGGCCCAAAAAATGGACCAACTGGATAGCCAGGGCGATGCTACCGCTGATGTGCTGGCTAAATTGACAAGCTTCGAAGAAAACAATAACATAGACTTGGACAATAGTGCTTCCCAAGGTGTCGACTTCTCCAACAATACAGAACAGCTGCGCTACAAACTTGATAAATTTCTGCAAAGCTTCAATCGTATGCATGCTCGCTACACAGAAGCCAACTTGCAGATCAAGCAGCTAATGGAAAACCAAGAAGATCTACAGAAGAAATTGAGTCAACAATCGGTTAGCTCGAAGGAGCTTGAAGAGCAATTGAGAAGTGAGTTGACGGCCCAGGTGTCTCGGCTCAGTAATCATAATGTGCACCTAGACGAGACAGTTAAAAACCTCGAGGATGTCAACGAGAAGCTCGTAAAGGACGCTGCTAAATTGGAAGCGGTCCTGGGAGAGTCGCAGCAAGCTCTCCAGGAGTCGGAGGCGAAGCAGCTGCGCATGGGAGCAGAACTCGCACAATACCAAGTAGAGATAGCAAGCCTGGAGTCTCAAGTTGCACAGCTGCAGAGCCAAGAGGCGCAGCTATTAGAGCGCGTAGAGCAAGAACAGGATCGTTGCAAAGCCGTGGCTCTCCAGCTGGAGGAGAAGGTAGGCGAGGACATGGAGGCGACGCGTCTCTATGAGTTGCAAACCAAAATTCTCAACGAGACACAGGATGAACTGCAGCGTGTACAGGGTAACCTGGATGTGCTTCAACTTACATTCGATCGTAAGGCCCAATTAATGGAGGACCTGAGTTTGTCGTTTGAAATGCAGCGCATGGAGCTCGAAGAGGAACTCGAGAGCAAGCGGAAGCTTATCAAACAGCATGAGGACCTGCAGGCCGCTCACAACGATGCTTTGAACCAATTGCAGAGTATGAGTGAGGCCAAGAGCCAGGCACAAAACGAAATAAGTGAACTACAAACTCAATCATATGAGATGCATCAGACGACTAAGGACCTTGAGGGGCAATTAGAGCGCCAGCGGGAAGCGGCACAACAAGAGCAAGAAAAACTGAAAGTCGAGCTCGTTCAAGTACGGACTGAACTTCAGAACCAGGTCCAAAATCTTGAAAATCGTCTGCTTACATCCAATAGTGAGGCGGCCACATTACGTGAGACTGCGAATAAGTCAGAGCAAGAGGTGCAAATGCTTCGTACAGAGCTCGATTTGGTTACGAAGAATGCAGAGAGCCTGAATCTCAAAATTGTTGAGCTACAGGCTCAATTTGATAAAAATGAACGTGAGTTTACTGCACAGAAGGCAAGCATAGAGGAGAAGCTGGCGAATCTAATTCGCGAAAAGGAAATTCTTGACGATCAAATACAGAAAAGCTCGAACACTGAGATGGCGTTGCTCGGAAAGATTGGTATACTTGAGCAGAACGTCATCACGGCAGAGAAATTGTGCAAGGAGGCGCAACTGGACAAAAATGTTGCACACGAACGCATCACTAAGCTGGAGCAGTTGCGCGATCGTCAGGAGAAAATCGTACGCACCCTTGAGCACCAGCTGAACGATGCAGATGATACCAAAGTGTCTCTAAACCACGACATCGGCGGACTTAACTCTGAAATTGCTCAGTACAAACGGCGCGAGACGGAGCATACTCAGAAGTTTGATCAGCTGCAGAAAGAGTTCCAGCAAACACAGAACGATCTGTGTGATGTGCAGCAGGAGCTGCTGCGGTCCAAAGCGGAGTTGGATGCGCAAACCCAGAATTATTTGAAGCTAAGCGGTGAGCGGCAGCAGTTGGACGCGCAGCTGCAGTCACTGCAGGAGTCGAATGCGGCCGCGCAGGCGGAGCAGTCCGTCCAGCTGTTGACGCTAAACGACAATATTAAGCTGCAACGCGTCCAAATCGATGCACTGGAGAAAGAACTGAAGACTGAGAGGGTCAAATACCAGGCACTGCAGGGTGAAATGTTGCACAAGGAGGAGGAATTGCGGCAAGTTCAAAACCTGCTGGAGCAAACGGTTGCTGAAATGAACTTTCAGGATATGCAACAAAAAGACTTGCTCCTCGAAGAGTTTAAACGAGAGCGCGAGGAGGAAAAGCAACGCACTCTCACACACGCCAGCGAAATGGTGAACCTCCAAAAGGAACTCCAAGAGTACAGTCTGGAGTTGGCCACGTTGCGTAGCACGCATGATAAACTGTGCCAGCAGATGGCCAATAAGGAGGTGAACGATGCCAAGATCCAGAAGCTCGAGCTCGACTGTCAGGTATTGCAGGCCAAGTATCGTGAAGCGAAGGAAGAGCTAGCCCGTGCCGATCAACGTTTGAAGGATCAGCGCCTTGAATTGGAAGGGAAACTTGAGAAAATGAAGAACAAAATGGTATGTTTGTCGATTTACTTCTAAAACTGATTACGTTTTAGGTGCATGCTTATACATACTTATTAACAATGTCGGTTGTGGCTGAATAAATTACTGGGGAAAATGGGAACTCGTCGTCGTCCGTTTGTTATAAATACTATATGTGTGTAGTAGTGTGTTTGTCCCGATATTTATGTCTTTTGCGTTCCATTCCTAAGCCTTCTGCCAGACTTGTTCTCTTTTATTATCCACACCCATTTGTTTGCTGACTATACTTTCTGAACTTAAACCTATTTTTAAATTTAAAGGCACAGATCGGTATTTATGTGTCATCATTCAACTGTTGCGAAAGATGTGTGGTGAGAACATAAAAATTACAATCGAATTTATATAGTAAGATGAATATCAACTTTTCAATTCTTTAGTTTTTATATAATCTCCAAAGAGTACGTACTATTTATTATTAAGCATCGGCTTGCCGACGGATACGTTTATTTCTTATCATGTTTAAAGTTTTTTCTTTGTTTTCTTCTCTTCCTGCTGCTACGCTCTCATCCTCTATTTCGTTGTTTGCTTTACACTTTCTTGACTCCTTTCTACATTTACTAACAAACTGTCTCTCCCCTCTCTCTCACTCTCTGGTCAAACTCAAACGAAATTGTCTAAAATTCAAGACCCAAACGGGGGTATCGGTTTCCCCGGACGCGTGTGGCGTAGTTATAGAGAGCACTGCAAGAAAAACCGTAGCCACTATGACAGATTTCCGTGAATCAAATAATTCTGATGCTTATGCTGAGGAACCTAGGGCGCGTCCCGAAGAAATACCGCCACCGGCAACTGAATCTCACGGCCGGCGCATCAACATTGGCCAGATGCTGTTTATTGGGGGCATGCAGGCCGCCTTTTTAGGAATCTTACATTTGATACTATATCGCAATGAAATAGAAATTGACTTCCGCCCACGCCATCCCCCCGAATTTTAAAACAAACCTATACATTCCTATGAATTATTCTAAATCAAAAATCAATTGTTTTTGAAATGTTTATTTTTTTTCGTTTTTGTGTTATTGAATACTTTAGTGTCTTTAATATTGAAACAAAATTTATTTGTTTGTGTAAATAAAAATCGTTTGTAATATAAATGTGTATATTTTGTTGTTTTTTTCTGCGTTTCTCGCTCTCTTTTTTTACAATCTTTCTGTATATCTCTTTCTGGAACGCTCTATTTCATCTCTCATTTTAAACTAAGCCACTTAACCATTTGGTTGCATGCTCGCTCATGTCTGTGTTTATGTCTCATCCTTCCACAAATTTGACCCAAAACTTTAGAAGGCACTGTACAATGAGGAGATCACGCGAATGAAGCAAAAGCAGGAACGTGAGGCGACCACTAATAACGCGGAACTAGAGGCAGTAAAAGCACAGGTAAGATCTACGATCAAATATATTAATCCGAATGCTCTAAATCAATGTAGGGAACCATGTACCATTTTCCATTTCGATCTCCAGAACCTAATCTGTTATTAATAAATCCACTGGAGCCCTTATTATTTTACAATGTGTTTTTCCATAAAATCTAAAACTATTATCAACATGAAATTGTTAACCCACAATCTCACGGAATGTATTTTTAGAATGCCAAATATGAGGAGCATGTACGCAAGCTTTCCAACCAGATTGTACGTCTCAACGACAAGATATTGGAGCACCAGAAGCAACATGCAATACTCAGCACCAAGCTGCGCCACATGCAACAACAGCAGGAGCAGCAGCAGTTGCAGTTTCAATTGGAGCATCAGAGTGCTGATATACCCTTTAAACGGCCCAGCGCATTACCGACATCTTCCGGCCCTGCGGCGGTCAATTTGGGCACGAATCTAGCAATGGAGGATGAGGAGGGTGAAGTATTCAACAACACCTACCTGACGGATCTTAAAATGGGACGTGTGCCCGAAATAACGTAAGTGTACAAATTAATAGATAAGTATAAAATATAAATGTATGAGGCTACTCGAGCAAAGGGGGATCCGCTCATAGCCATATAGTTTAATATCTATAACATCGCTTCCTGTGGAACCAGATCTATAACTAGGCTGCTTAACGCTTTCTTCTGGAAAAGAGTTAATATAATGTTAAATATAATATTTATCAAAAAATGCGTTTGGGCTCGTCCAAACTTTCTTTATAATGAGAAACAGTCAGTTTTGCTCACGAATTCTACCCCATTTTATAAGTAAAGCCATACACAATATACATACATATGTACATAGATAGAATGAAACACTGACAAACAGAATAAAAAGTGACTGTCAAACAAATGAAAATGAGCAGAAATAAGCCAGAAAACGATGGTTGATCGCTTTCAACAATCGCCACGAATTTTTGATCAAAATCATACATATATTACATACATACATACTTACATTTTTATATACATATGTATATATAGTAGATAATACATATTTTGATATGAATATTAATGTGGAATTTCTTTTGTTGTCTCTTTGATCTGCCTTTAGTACCGAGGAACTGCACTATCGGAACTCACTGCAGCCGCCGCATTTGAAGAGTACCTATGCAGCGCAGTATGATTTGGTCGCTCCAGACGACGATCTCAAAGTAAGCCCCGATGCTGTCAAGTGTCCGGCTAGCAACAAAATTCCAAATATCAACAACAACAAAAGCTCTTCTGCCGCATCATTACTTAATGGGCCCATACAACAATCTCAGCTCTCTTTGGCGTTGAAGTCGCAAGGGAAACGGGAGCGCTCTGCGCTGCACACAAATCTGACACGATTGTGGCACAATCGACACAAATAGTGATCTAACTGTACTGGATGCTGACAACACTGTTTCACTTATTTACCAACACTGACGTGAAATGCATGCAAAGACATGCATTTCCAGAAACTCAAATTAGGAATTAACGTGAGATCATGGTTTATAGGTCTTCGATTTAAATGCTTTGGTTTAGGGTTTTGCATTTGTTTCGTGTGCTTTTAGTTGCTATTCGTTTCTTACTTCATGTGTCCTTTCGTTTTGTTGTTGTTGTTGTTGATGTTGTTGTGTCCAGTGCCGTTCACTAACTTTGGGGAGGCTCCAATGAACACGACCGGTCTCGATTAACCCATAATGGTTGTTTTTTATTTTTTAAATTATATTCACAGGATGGTCCACACAGTCTTGACGATAGCATGAGCGCTTTGCTTAGCACTACTGGAGGTTGTGCAGCACGCAAAAAATCGATGGGTACGCACTATAAACGCCCAGGTCCGCCGACTCCGAGCAAAAACGGCGGCCGTTTATCCTTCGGCGGTAGCACGGAGCCACCGCGGGAAATTTTGCGTGAGATGTGTGATGGCGGTGGCAATTCCAAGACGCCGGCACGTTTTAAGCTCTTCACATCTCGCTTCAGCATGGGTAGCAGCAGCAGCAATGGGGGAGGAGGTGGCCACTGTCTGCCGAGCAATCACACTCGTGATGAGGTAAGTGGCGAATGTGATGAGTCATGTTGTAGTAATACCATATAATAGTTGTAGAAACTGTCTCAGATGTTGGTTGGTAAAACAAATATTGAAATGACCCGTTCCTAGCTAAGATTAAATCGAATCGAGTTAAATATTTTTATATAAAACTAGCGTTTCCGGCTTGCGTTGCTGCGCCATTGAATTGTAGTGCTTTTTAAACTTTCTGACGTCACATCTTTCCCATTACGTCCTTCGCTTTTTATGGCTTCGGTTACGTGCTTGATTGAGTACCCACTGTCCTCCACCTTTCCACGTATGTACAAAGGATGTCCATCGCCTCGTGTTGGTGTTTCTTTCGCGCGTTTGCCAAAGCCGCAAATCCCATTCCTATTCCGTTTCTATGGCTCTGGACGTAGATGCCCTTTCGCAAAGATCTTGCAAACGTTATTCGCGTTCGTCGGCATTTCTAATTTTTATACCGAGGCTTACTATTATACCAGTATGCGCTAAAAATATTTATGAGTCATGATAAACTTCTAGATTTTGTAGAGGCATTACAAACACAAAATTTGATTTTAACCCAACTTGTATAAATGAGAGTAAATTAGCGATACAGATTAGTAAGATCAGCCGGTATTTTAATTTTGGTGCTTGTAGGTATTATGGTGCAAAAGTTCTTGATGTTCATACAGACAGATGGGCGGACAAATGGTTATGTATGCATCGATTAATGTTTTTATAGGTAAACGGAATTTTTATAAAGCGGAGAAACCACCACCTGAGACTGTTGTTACCTTATTAATTTGTCTTGGTCTGAATAGCCTTTTATATGTGTTCTAATGAGAGTTATGTCGTAGTTGGGCGAGTCTAATGTATTTTGCTGTTCGTGTGTTCGTCTTTGTCTTCGTTATCGTGGTCATTATTGTTTCTGTTCCACGCTGCTAACATCCATCCCCCCCACCACTCGTTTTTGTTTAGCTCTCAGCAGTCCAGCCAAGGAAAGCACAAAAGCAACAATCGAGGCGTCTCCGGCAAAATTTGCTGGCGCATGTGCAGCGACGAAATATACAGGGAAGGGCAGCGGCCGCGTTCTGCACATCAACGCCGAGGAAGAGTCACTCCAACGATCAGCAGGGTCTGATATGCAACAGTGATGTGACTGAGAACCAGGTGGATGTGAAATATGTGCCCACAGTGAGTGGAGCGGCAAATCAGAGTACCCCGCATTTGCCGGCCAATGAGTTTCCGGTCGATGCACGACGATTGCGACTGTTGGTGGCTCCAACTAGCAGTTCTGGCAGCAGTAGTGCTGTTGGCACTGCACGCCGATCGTCGCTGGGTGGTGCTCGAGTACGGAGGCGGGGGGCGCGAGTCTCACTTTGCTTGCATGGCAACATCTTTGCTCGAAGCAGACCCCCGACAGGCCATCCCTCGAAAGCAGCAAAGGCGGAGCAGCAGCAGAATCGACAAGCCAAAATCAAGAATAAAACGCGTCAGCAGCGCTATGCATGTTTCGATCAGGGCAGACAGCTAGTGGGTAGTGATGGAGATGGAGATGGACATGATGATGGTGGTGGTGGTGGTGGTGAGCAGAGGGTCGAGTTGGAGGGGGACGAGGAAGATTCGGGGCACGCCACTTATACGTTGAGGCAGACTAATAACAATGACTATAGTTTGCTCAATCGCAACAACAAGAAGAACTTGAAATTGGGTGCTACCATGGTGATGGCACCCCAGCATCATCATCATCAGTTGGAGATGACGTTTAATGTCTCCCCCCGCATTCGCCCCCAACTGCAGCAATTTGAAAAGGATCATATTAACGATTGGATCAATAGCCAAGTCACCGTTGCATTTGATAGTATTGATGATGGCGGGAATGCGGCCGTTAATGACTTCGAGCAGCTGTGCCGGGAAACAGTGTCGACGGCTCCATTCGCCTTACAGCCACTAAATTTTAGTGATGGAATCGGACGAAATGAGACAGAACAAGAAGAGCAGGAATCTGATGACCACACGCATCAATTGTCCGTCCACACTCCCATAAATGTGCAGCCGTCGAATAATAGTAACGCATCCTCGGCCTCATGCACAATTTACTCGCAGGGCAACGTACATAGCTATCGATTGCCCCAAATCAATGTGATGACAGTGCCCCAACTTTCAACGAGTTGCCAGCGGGCCACTCAAAACTGTATTATTACGGTCGCCGATCTGTGGGGCATATGGCGTCGCATGAGTGTCACAGCACGCCTAATTCTAGGGATGATGGCGATCGGATTGGGACTGGGCGGTCCTTTGAGTGTGATCACAACGGCAACCATTGGATCGCTGCTGGTACTCATAAGCTATTACTATGGTGGCGATAAATAAGGTGTTCTGTTCACAACAGGAATTACGATTACGTGAGATATTAGAGAATTACTTACTAACAACTACGAATAAACTACTAACACGTTTTCATCGAAGCACCCCTGCCCCTTTTTTACAGCTCTTTTGAAGCAGTAATCTGTTTTTATCAACTCGACGAGAATTGCGCAGGAAATTAGCAATATCTTCGACAAGTTGTCTATTCACCTATATTCCTTGTTAATTAATTACCTTTTTTAAATTAATTTTTTCAGAATTCCCCACCCAAACGTCGCCTCAGCAACATGTTCAAGCGGAAATAGCCGAAGGAGTACCATCAATACACACTTTTTTGTATAGCAGTAGCTTTAAGTTTAACTAAAACATATCCCTAAGCTGTAAAGTTTCTCGTAGACGCATCTGTGGCTCCCAACGGGCTCCATTAATTCTATTTCGAATTGTATTATTATGTTATGTAGCAAAAGGCGCATTGATATAAATTCTCTATTCAAGCCTTACATAAAACAGTTGTATAATCCCTGTTGGTAGTGAATAGGACTCTTTAAATAATTATCGATTTACAAGTATATGTTACTTTTTTTTTTTGGTACAATTGCTGTGGTCGCCTTCTATTTTATGGCCTAGTCGTTACCAATTATCGACCGATCGATGTATGATCCATATTTTTGTTCAATTTAAATTTATGAATGTGCTTGTTTTTCTCATAAATAAAAAACACGCGCACTCGGTGTGGAAATTTTATACTTTGCTAGACACAGTACGCATATTATTTTGAAGGCTAGTCGGGAAATGAAATTTGAGCTAATGCCAGAGAATATTTAAGCGATTAACTAGCAATTAAATATACATATGTACATACAGATACAGATACGCACAATAAATATCAAATGTCCATCATAATTTTTTTTTCTAAAAACAAGAACATTTTCAATAAAGTGATGCAAGGATTTCTAAACTTGACTAATTGGCATATGTTTTATTTACTTATTTGGGCTCGGGTATTGGAATCTTCTTTACAACACATGGATACAAAAAAATGCAACAAGAACAATGACAACAACAACAACAATATTATGTTAATAAAGGAGGAGGGGGAGGGGGAGGAGCTGCACAACTTTCATAATATTATTTATTTTTTACATTTTTATTGGGGCTTTTATTTGCAATTTTGCAAAAATAAATTTGTATTCGTTGTAACCACAAACAACAAACCTGTTCCAGCAGCAATAGCCGTGGCAACAACAACAAAAACAACCACAACAACAACACCACTGTTACTAACTTCATGCAAAACAAGAGGAGGCTCGTTCGATTGCCCGATCAAGATTCGATTCCATGGTGCAATGGCAAGGCCAGCACAATATTTTTGTTTACAACTTGTAACTACAATTTAAAAAAAAAAAACAAAAACAAACTAGCTGTTGCCATATGACTAATGTGGAAAATAAACAAGAATGCATCTACGTCAATGAAATGTGTATCTGGGGTGGTTCTTGAAATACATTTGCTTGTTGACGATGTCCTAACTTGTCCAGCTAGTGGAAAAATCGTAAGAAACAACAAATTTTCATACTTTTTCCCAATCGAGGATACAGAAGTGGTGGACAACTTTTTGAAAAATGTTTTTATTATAATTCAGAATGGAAAATGTTCTTTATAGAGTATATGATTCCTACTTCACTTGTTTGTAATCATTATGTCTTGTGCAATAACTGGGCATTGTTTACCAAAATTAAAATACGAAATAAAACTCCATCATTATTAATAGCTAGCATCTAAAATAAAAATTATATTAAATATGTAGTCGATTTAAATGAAATTATATATGTATAGTGTGTATATCTGAACAGTTGAAAATCATTTCCTTCTCTCTATCTCTCTTTCTCATTTCAAATGGCATATTCCACAATGAAGGGATTAGGGCCAGTGTTTAAATATAAGTATATAGTATATAGTATAAGTAAATATTTAACACACTCCTTCAGATATAATCGTTATCCATCACCTCTTCTGATTTATGGATCAACACGATACCTCAATGGTATTACTATTCAACTCTCCTTTTGGCTTCGACAAATAAAAATTAGGTAACCCAGATTCTCTAAGTAGCCTTTAAGACAAGCAGAAAATACTTTGGAAGAATTCGTATATCTGAACAATAAAATTTGAGCCACATTAGATTCTAGGTACATTCTCCCTCTTTAACTTAAGCATACAACTTCGCCATATTTCAAATATTTCGCATTATATTCAAAGATAGTCTGAAGAAGTTTTAGTAGTTAGAAAGAGTTCGTAACAATACTTATACTTGTAAATAAATGATTGTTCAAGCCCAAATTCAATTGGAAATAATGGTAGGTTTTATACAAACTATGCATCTAGGGTTATATAAAAATTTCTCGACGCCACAGATGCTTAAGAGAATATTTATAGCGAATCACAGAAAAAAAAAGGTAAGCTACAAAAGAACTCAGTTGAATATTTGTACATTTTTTTGCTATATTTGAATTCTATATTTCGATGACACAGAAATATGTTGCAACTGTTAAATAATTCCGAGCTCCGAGGAAAATACCAGTGGCAAAAAGCTATAAAAGGCTTATGCTGATGCCGAATGTTTTCCGGTTTTTCGATTCACATCGAAGCCAAACGGAAGAGACATACGACTAGTTCGATTTCGTTTCGAACGATTCAAGCATTTCTTAAACTTCAGTCAAGCATCCTCAGGCACCAACTGCAATAAGTAATGGCATCTCAAATGTAATGAAATGCTTGAAAAAAAAAAAAACAGATTAGATTTTAGAATTTGAACACAACTTTAGACTACTATATGGATTTGTCGTTCACTAAGCAATTTTGATGTTAATTATTGCACAATAGATTGAAACCAATATAGCAAATGATGTTTTAAGACTTGTGATCAGCACGCGCTGGCTTTCGTAGAAAGACTGCCTAAAGACTTTCCACAAATTATAGGGTTATCAAAAGATAAATAAACGATTCCGTATGATTTTAGGGATTTAATACAAACATGTTGAATATAAATAAATACGAGCATTTATAAATACGACAACAAACAGCGTTAGTCTGATATTTTAAGCAGCTATTGGCTTACTTTTTTGTGAAACAAAAACTGCGCAATTATAAGACGCCAGCGAAAAATTCACTAAATTGCATAACTGGGAGAAAAGCTAAAAACCGTTTTGCAAGAAAACCGACATTTTTCCAAAATTCCATACATACTTATGTACTATACATATATAAAAGTCTATACAATTATGTATTATTAAATATTTTGCTGATCAATCAAGCATGAATTTTTAAAAAAACAATTTTAATGTCAATGTTATTGTTTGGCTTTTTGCCAAAAATGCATTTAAAAATCGCGACAAATTTTGAAAAAGGCACAGACAGAGGTTATGAGGTTATGATCTTTGTTTACATCGCCCATATAATCCATAGACTATGCATTTTATGGCAGCCAAACGAATGACTCGTGTTGATGTTGTTATTGTTATCGTAGTTGCTGTTGTTGTCACGCGTTTTATTCCGCCCGACTATGACGCAGTGGATCGATTGGACCCAACAGCAGGTGTGTATGTAATAGTCAAGAACCGAGTTATAGTTTTGCATTATTTAACCCGATCTGTTTAGCAATTTCAATTGATTAATAAATTGCTATTTAACGTATATCCATTATGAACTGATTTAATCGTACGAATGCAAATCTTATGCCAGATGCTATAAATGATACGCCACAGATGGTGCAACCTTATGGAGTTCTTGAACTGTTGATCCGATTCAAGAAAATTCCAAATTTGTTGGCTTACTAATGAAGTGTAGGAATGGTTTGAAGGCATCATATTTAATATAATCAATTAAGATCCTAATAGTGAACAGTAGAATTCTTAAGGCAGGTACTTTCGAAAAAGTTGCTGTCCAAATGCAAAGCATTAACTTTTTTGAATATACGTGTATATAATATACTTGTTAGAAAGCTCAGGATATCGCTGAACATTTCACGCAAAAACAATACAAATACTTTTCCATATATTCAGCCGCATTTTTCCTTGAAACATATATACTAGTATACATAAACAATTGCACCATATATAATTGCATTTCAAATGTTTAATAATAAGTAAAAGAATATCATTCAGCTTAGATTAATCCGTTTGGCAGCTTTTCCAATTGAGAACGGTGGAGTAGTATTAAAGCTATGTTATATGTTATGGCATTGTTTACAAGTAGTTCTTAAACACCCCAGAAGTTATGTCCGTGTCAACTTATCTGTAATTCACAAATATAGTAAATATTCTAAAATGAACATATTTAAAATTAAAATTCTATGGCTTATGACTGTGTCGATCTATAATTCCAATATTCTTTAACTAAACATATTGCCCGCAATCAAAATTATTATAATATTATAGGTATACTATACATATTTGATTAATCGTATAAGCTGCTGTTTAATAATCGAAAATAATGTCTTTCATAAAATAAACACAATTGATTTGCTTCATAGAGCTGTTTCTAAGTTTCTAAGTACCCTTTATTTGGGAACATACTTACATATTTAAGTTATCTGTTTCCTTAAACTCTTTTCTGCGTTTAACAAACACCAACTCCGTATTCATATTTTTTTGGGGAAACTAATAAATGCATTTGCACTGGTGGTTGAAGGTTATGGTTCCTAGAACCATTGGATGGACGAATATTTCATCCTAAGGGTGGTGTTGGTGTTTTTTTTTCTTTGAATATCTGTTTTTCGTTTGATCCGAAAGTCGACAGCCTGTGGTTAGTGTCTAGCATTTAAATGAGCCACTGTTGCTGGTGTTGTTGTGACTTAAAAATAATATCAAATCGAAATCTGGTTATGAATATATTTTCTATTGGCAAGTATTCAAATCAGAGGCCGGCCTGAACCGATGCGATCCGATCGTGTTATTGTAGTGAGTTCGGTTTTTAACTGACGTTGGGAGCCGAGGCAGGCGCAGGTTGCGCCCATTGTGATTGTGAGAGTGTGCGAGCGTGCTTATATACGTATACGAATACATATGTATATACATACAGATATGAATTCGCGTATATAGATTAATTTGCATTTGTGTTGGTGTTGCCTGGCAAATATATGGAAGACAAGCGACAACGCCGCCGGTGCCGATAAAAGCACAACAAGATTTGTGAAGTAGATCAGTTTTGCTTAGCACAGAAAACGCACATCATCTTGAAAGAGTTGAAGATCTAAAGTCGAAGACATTCCTAGTGCAACAACAAATAGATCTAATGCTGGTTTGGAACGATAAACAGGATACAAATTTTACATTTATTTGAAGTGCGATCAGAAAGAATAGTGGAAATAGATCGTTGAACTGATATATTTATATAAATATATATATTGCGTTTTTTTGTTGGGTGAATTCGTTGTTTTGAATTTCGTACTTATTTGATCGTTGTCTGGTGATAATGCCCATCACTGTTGCCAACGAGGGCTTCAAATTTCAAAGTAGCAGCAACAACAACAGCAGCAGCAGTGGAAGCAGTGGGAGCAGAAGCAGCTCCAATGCCACATCTCCGGCCACGCCTCCACCCACAGTCCACCATCATGTGAATGTGGATCTGGTGGACGCGGCTCTGGCTGCCATGGAGGTGCCAACTGGAAAGCGTACTGGGTGGCAGGTGCAGTCATCGTTTCTGGCGCGCCACACACACAACATGATACGCGGCATTGTGGAGTCACTGAAGATGAAGCCCAATCCCGAGAAGCCCATGATACCGTTGTCCATTGGTGAGTTGAGCACGCATTACAAATAAATTAGAAAAGCTCGCAAATGGTGACAAAGACAGTGAGGGAGCAAGAGAAATTCTGTGCACCCTAAAATTCCCTCAATAAGTAGCTTCTTTGAGACGAACCATATTCTGAAGCATTGTCGTGAATAAAACTTGTTTCATATTGTTTTCGATATCGGCACACATAGCCAATAATTGTGTTATACTTGTATATATATGCACGTGTGTGTATGGCATTGTCCCCTAAAAATCCAAAACACTCACACCCACTAACGCTGGCCAATCAGAGCGCACGTTCAGCGATTGGCGCCGTTGCGCCGGCGCAGAAATGCATGAACAATGCGAAAGGCCTGATATTGATGCTGACGTCGATGGCCAAGAAACACACACACAAACACTCACACACACATATTTAAAATGAAATATAGATATAGCGTCTTTTCGCTTAACCTGAGGGTATTATTAAATAGAGCTTTAAGAAGTTTTTCGTGCTTCAATTTCACTTTGAAAATAATCAAAACTTAGAAACCAAATACAACTTCCACAACTTGTATGCAGATTTATACTTGATTTAGAAAAAAGAAGTAACATTTCTTTTAAAAAAATATATGTATATCTTGCGTGCCCATTTAAATTGCTCAGAAATCGATAGTTTTTATAGTTTTCAGCGATGAACAGCCACAAAACATATTTGAATACCTGTTTGGGGCAAATTGAAAATTATTATTTTGCCGAAATCTGACTGTCTGTCTGTCTGACTGGCCAACACTATGGGCTGCCAGTGCCATTTGCTAGTTCTTCACCTAATTTCATACGCAACTGTTTAAAATAGTGTTGCGATCTCGGCTTGTTGTTGTTTTGAACAGAAGTAGCATTTAAATATGCAATTTTTTTTCTTTCTTAAATCTCGTAACTAATTAATTTATGCCATATGTATTTGCGTATATGTGTGTGTGTGTATATATATAGTATATGTATATAGACGCATGTATATAAAATGTGGGCTGTTATTTTGATTTTGGTAGCAGTGCGCGAGTCGCGCGCGCGTTTTTTAAAACAATTTGCATAAAATGTAGTTTCACCTGTTTCCTCAACACGAAGCCGACGCCGAAGCACGGGCGCGGGTACGGGCGCAGGGTACGGGCGCAGGCACGGGCCAGTAATATTTATGCCAAGTCACTTGTTTATCATAACAGTTAGCTAGCCGATCGGCCCATGTATCTTAACTGATACAAAACAAACAAGCAGACAAAAACAAAAAATGCACTTTATAATATACATACGAGTAGAGAAGTGCCGGGATTATTCTGAGAAATTTATTGTATCAGTACCATCTCTGTCGTTTACATAGGCGATCCCACAATTTTTGGCAACCTGAAGGCGTCCGATGAGACAATGAAGGCAGTGCTCAAGGCGGTGGAGGGCGCCAAGTTCAATGGGTATGCCGGATCCATGGGACACGATGCTGCACGCCAGGCCATCGCCAAATACAGTGCACACCAGCGTCCGGATATGGAGATCAGTCCTAATGATGTGGTCATCACCAGCGGCTGTTCGGCCGCCCTGGAAATGTGCATTCTGGCGTTGGCCGACCGGGGCCAGAATGTATTGGTGCCGCGTCCAGGATTTTGTCTCTATAAAACACTTGCCGAGGGCATGAACATCGAGATACGATATTATGATTTATTACCGGACCAGGAATGGCGCGCCGACTTGAAGCAAATGGAGAGCCTTATCGATGAGAATACGGCGGCGTTATTAATCAATAATCCAGGCAATCCATGCGGCAGTGTCTACGATGCAGACCATCTGAAGCGAATGATCGATATATGCGAGCGCCACTACCTGCCCATCATAGCGGACGAGGTGGGTTAATGTCTGAGCCTACCCTAGATGGAGCAAATTGATCATTTTCTCTTCCAATATTTAGATCTACGAGCACTTTGTCTTCCCCGATGTGGAGTATGTGGCAATTAGTAGCTTAACACATGAGGTGCCCGTTCTCACCTGCGGGGGTCTGACGAAGCGCTTCCTGGTGCCGGGCTGGCGCACTGGTTGGGTGATTGTCCACGATCGGAAGCAACGACTGGGCGATGCAGTGAACGGTTTGAAGAACTTGTGTGGCCGTATTTTGGGATCGAATACCATTGTGCAGGGCGCTCTGCCAGACATTTTAGTCAAAACCCCGCAGAGTTACTTCGACGGTGTCATCGAACTGTTGCATGTAAGTTGCCGCTTATTAAAGGTTTTGATTCCACAGCTTCATGGCAATTTCCTTCTCAATAGTCCAATGCTCTGATGGCATACAGAGCGCTAAAGAAAGTGCGAGGACTGAATCCAGTAATGCCCAAAGGTGCCATGTATATGATGATTGGTATTAGCATTGAACACTTTCCGGCCCTTAAGGACGATGTGCACTTTGTGCAGGAAATGGTGAACGAGCAGAGCGTTTTTTGTCTTCCCGGCAGTTGTTTCCAGTGTCCGAACTTTATTCGCATTGTGCTGACTGTCCCGGCCGAAATGATCGAAGAGTCCTGCGTCCGGATTGCCGAGTTCTGTGAACTTCACTACAAGAAGGACACTCGTGCATTCATTGAGCACTCAACGTTGTTAGACGGATCTGTAAACTTTTAGACTGTCGAGGAAATTGGACGTGGTTGTATGGTGGAGCAATTCATTTATTAGATGATCTAAGCTAATGTTAGTTTTGTATTGTATATATAAATATCTATGTGTACAAGACAAGTACAATATATCAATCATTATCTATATGTCGTATATATATAAATTTATATTTATTTATATAAGGAGTATTGTCTCAAAAAATTGCTGAAATCGAAACACACACACACACAGACAAGAGAGGAGAGCGAGTAAAAAAATTTGTATTTGCGCTTAAAAGGTTAGGGAATACTTATTTCCTTAATAGATTTTTGCGATCATAAAGCGGCCGCCCATGTGCACATTAGAGGTATGCAGGAATGCATTCATTAAGTTTTTGTCCAACAAGTTGAAATGATAGACAAAATGAATAATCTAATGAATAGTAACCGAATGAACACGATTATCTATTCTGTTGGTCGTTCTGTTCTAAGGCTCCAATGCTAAAGCTCTCTCCTTCTGTGTATTTATTGAATGCATATATGAATGATCTTTGGCATTATATCTAACGATGTTATGATTCCCTATGTAATGCTTTGCGAGGTTCCGAATTCGTTGCAATCTACTGCATGTATGTATATATTCGCATCTTAATTCTGTAAATGGATGCTCACAAGTGAGTGCAATTAAATGAATAAATATCTAGAGATGAATCATAATAAAATTTCTCATCAATTAATGCGATTGGGTGCATCCGATGAATACCTTGCTGGTGCATTCATGCAGTAACCTCTAATATATATTGTGCAAACCCTTGTCTCTGGCATTGCAACAGGCATTGCCGATGTGTTCCTCTACACCTACAAATGGTGCGGATGCATTTTCTTCTCCATTTCGACCTCAACGCGCGCCTCATCGATGCCCGCCACTGTTGGCAACCCTCCAGGCCAATGCAGCAGCTCCTGCTCGTGCTCCATTATCATATTGGCCTCGGCTGCAAGGTCACAAACAAAAACTGAGGCAATCGGACTCACTCAAGCCCCTACACACTCACCTTGGATGCGATGCAGCTTACTGCCATAGGCCCAGTCCGTGTAGTAGCCCATTATGAATGTCAGTGGAACGAGTGGGGCCAGTGCCGAGACTCGCTTCACCCGTTGGTAGTAACTGGCACACCCGTAGAGGGCACTTAAATAGAAACCGCCTAACCAGTAGAAGAGTTCGCGATGCTGGGCAATCGCCAGGGCCTGTTCCCGCTGCTTGATTTGGTAATGCATCTGTATCCAGCGCTCCATCTGATTGATGATTGATGGTGCATTGATTGAGTGGTCGTCACAATTGTGCTGGCCAACTTCTTTTTCACACTTACCTTCAGCTCCTGGCACTTGCGATACGTTGCATCATCGTGATCAGGATAGCCTGTGGATTTCCTGCAAGAGGCTGTGGCGCCCATTTTGCTGCTGCAGTGCGTCTGCCTTTTTAGCCACTGCCTGACAAATCTATAGCTGCTCACCACCCTCCACCAACAAGCGACAATAACAACTACACTGAAAAAAATATGATTTCTAAAGAGTTTTATGTGCACTTGAAGTAAGCTAGGGTTGCTGAAGAATATCATAAAATATCATTGCAATTGCAGGTTTTCCAATATTCGATATATTGTCTAATTGTAATCATTTGTATTTCCAATATCCAATATTGGATATATTGTCTTAATTGGAATCATTTGTATTAACTAAACTTTCCAATACAACTTGACTCTGGATAATAGGCTTATACATAGTTTCAAATATGTGTTACGTTTTTGTTAAACATCCACTTTTCTTTATCTGTATCTGCATCTTTAAAGAAACTACTTAGAAAACTTGTTTTTAAAGATGTTATATATAGTAAATGCTAATGTTGCAAACTTATTTTAAAATGTTTCCAGTATTTATTTATTTAATTTATTTAACATTTAATGCATCATTTTAAATTCGACTTATTGTATTGGGAAACATTCAAAAAATAATCTTGAGAATGCGAATAAATTTTTAAGCTAATAAATTTAATCAAGAAATATTGCACTCATTAAAATGTGTATTAAAGTATAATCTTCAATTCGATCTATTGCTTAGGGATTCATTAAATTCAGAGAAACATTAAAAAAATAAATTAATAAATAATACTGGAGAATGCAGATCTATTTTATGGCTTCAAAATATTTATATGTATTGCAGTTACACATACTTGTATGTTATATGATTTTCTTCTTTAATTCCCTTAATGGATGCGTCTTTTTTCCGAGTGTAGAGCAAATTCAGAAAATTTCCACCCTCGTCGCTGGTCTGTTTGGCATTTGGCGAGCGTGGAAACTGCGCAGGCGTTATGGCCATGTCAACGTTGCCATCTCTGACAGCCAGGCATGAATTTTGGAGCAAAGTAGTTGGCTGACTGAGGCACTGCCCGACTGAACGGCCGGACGACGTTGCACGCGCGTTTGTTTAGTACAAAAATTCCAAAGCACAAAATCTATTTTTCCCTCCCCCCCCGTTGATAATTGTTAAACAAAGGAAAATGTGTTAAGGATATTAAGGCAGACCAAGCTGCCTGCAAAGCCTAAAACAGGCCAAAAAAGGCTAAACTCAATTACAGCCTCAACTACTGCCCTAAATTTGTTGTTATCGTTGTTTGTTCGTTGTCTTTTTCGTCATCGGCGTCATCGTCGTCGCCGTCGCCGTCGTCGTCACGTCGTTGTAGTTGTCGTCGTCCTTGTTGTTGTTGTTCGTCATCGACGTTGTTCGTTGTTGTTAAAGCTTAAGCAGTTTGGCTCCAAGTGCGCCTCATTAATGTTACTTTGTGATAAAAATCGCGCGAAATTCGCTACAAAAAGAAAGTAAGTGGAACCGAAAGTGCTAGACATTGTCACACACGTAAGCATTCCACCCCACACACACACACACACAAATATACACACATGTAATCAGGGCAGGCATGTGTACATTACCTGCAGGTTAGGGCCAAAGGTTGAAGATCCCGTCATTTGGGGGTCATTAGAACTAGTTCGCTGACAAAAAATGACAAAAAAAAATGAGAAGGCAGCAACGTTTTGGTTTATTATTGAAACCACTAAGTTGGGAATTGCCTTTCAATTAAAATACTTTAACAGTAACAGATATCCAAATGAGAACAATAACATTTTATAGATATTTGCTGACATTTTATACGGACGTGGAAAACAAGTCAAGATAAACGTTTATATGGGAGGGCAAAACAATTTAGCTTAGAGAGGAAATGTGATGGAAACTGTTGGTCTACTATTGTAGATGGAATGAACGTCTTTCTAGTCAAGATAATGTCTTTTCTTTTTATGGGAGGGCGCAACACTCTAAAGAGGAAGTGTTATGGAAACTTTTGGTCTACTACGTACGAGTAGCTAGAATCAGGATAAACGTTTATATGTTTTCTATTCATGGAAAAGGGCAAACCATTTAGGAAGTGTGTCTCTATTATATAGACAGAATGGAATCTACGCATCTAAAATTGGAAATACACTCCATCAAAAACATAATCTTCATGTGGATATAAATGGATGCATTTTGTCAGCTAGTTCGTAAAAAATAATGAGGTGTGCAAGTCCCTATCATTTATGGAATGCTGCATAGAAATTTGGAGGTTTGCCTGAGAATTTTTGGGGTTGCATGCGTTACGCATTTCATCGCATCGTTTCGATGCCGTTGTACGTGTCGCATCGTAGTCGTCGTCGTCGTTGTCGTCATCGTCATCGTCATTTGGGGTCGGGAATGGTAAAGTAATTTACAAAAAGGTTGTCTGTTCATTGATATGCATGTGCCTGTGTAGGAGAGAGTACCCGTGTTTGTATCCGTGTGAGTGATTTGTGCTCACGTGTGTATTGGCCGCATTCGCTCTAATTTCAATTGACAGCTGTTCGAATGTAAATATTTACATGAGCTCTCACCATTGCACTCACTATGCCATTAAATGATCTGAAATTTATATCGCCCTGCACCTCCTCTAATAGTTTCACATTTCCCATTCAATAGCGACAATAACTGCAGACCAAGCAGCGAGGCCTACTATGCAAGCGAGCAGTTGATTGAATGATTGACCGATTACAAATACGTCGCTTGGGTGCAGCTGCAAGAAATAAAAGAGCGGGTGGCAGCGGTGGCGGCGGCGGAGGTGGTGGTGGAGGTGGAGTCCCAGTTAACATCGTGAGTCAACAGCAGCAGACAGCAGCAACCACTGGCAGCAGCAGTTCAGAAGCAGCAGCAGCAGCAACAACAACAGCAGCAGCAGCATCAGCAGCATCAGCAGGATCTGGTGCAGGTGCAGGAGCAGCAGTGCGACCAGGATCAGGAACGGTAACAGGAACTGGAGGAGGAGGTGCTGGCATTAATACGCCGGCCACTTGCAGCACCAGCTCCTCAAGCGGCAATAGTCTGACAATACAACAACAGCAGCAGCAACAACAACAGCAGTCTCATCATCTACGTGCCTCTCTGCATCAACATCAACATCCGCATCAACATCCGCATCAGCATCCGCATCCGCATCAGCATTCGCATCATCCCCATCATCATTCACAGTTGCATTCGTTGTCGCACTCGCATCAACCGCCAAGTCAATTCACCTTTAATTTATCTCCGGGCAGCAGTCCCGGTAATAACTTCGGCCTTAGCCTTGGCTTTGGCCCAGGCGCCTCACGCAACGCAAGCTATAACCATTATCAGAACGATGCCACCACTAGTACGCTCAACAGTCCAACGACCATTGTGAACTCGGGCAGTGGCGGCAGTGGAGGCAGTAGCGCCGCCCACGCATTTCACGCCGCCTCAGCGATGGGACCCATGCTGGGCACTGGCGTACAGCAGGCGGCCATGACGACGACGACGGGTAACGTGAGCGGAGCTGGTCCTGGTCTTGGTGGCAATGCGACAACTGTGGGAGCGGCAATAGCAGCAACAGCAGCAACAACGGGTCACAACAATGGAACTGGCGGTGGTGGCCTTAATCTGTTAGGTGGCGGCTGTGGAATGAGCGGCATGGGAGGATTGGGTGGTCTAGGCGGCATGGGTGGACTCGGTGGCTTGAGTGGGGGCGCCGGCATGGGCATCTGTGGTGGCATTAGCAGCACTGTTGGCAGTGCGGCCATTACCGGTGTGCCGCCCATTGGACTCGGTATTGCCACCGGCATTGGCAATAAGATAATGCTCGGACGCAAGCAAAGTCTGAAGGGCGGCGAACCGTTTCTGGCCGATTATGGACCAGAGGAGTCGCTGAACGAAAGTGCCGACATTGAGTGGGTGAATAAGCTGTGGGTTAGGCGACTGATGCGCCTGTGCGCCTTAGTCTCCTTGGCCTCAGTCTCATTGAATACGCCAAAGACTTTCGAGCGGCATCCGTCGTTGCAGTATATCACATTCGTATCGGATACCGCCGTAACGTTGCTCTTTACCGCCGAGATGATTGCCAAGATGCACATACGGGGTGTGTTGCATGTAAGTGTAACCGAAACTCTTATTTAGGTAACTATTCACTAAATACTAGAAACAATTACAGGGCGAAGTGCCGTACCTGAAGGACCATTGGTGCCAGTTTGATGCCTCAATGGTTAGCTTTCTGTGGGTTTCCATTATACTGCAGATCTTTGAAGTGCTGGAGATCGTGCCCAAGTGAGTAATATCGTGGCAAAGCTGATGAAATTGGTTTAGTCCAATGTATGCTTTCAGATTTTCATACCTATCCATAATGCGCGCACCTCGTCCACTCATCATGATACGTTTCCTACGTGTCTTCCTTAAATTCTCAATGCCAAAGAGTCGCATCAATCAGATCTTCAAGTAAGTATAATTTGTATATTGACGTCTATCAGTTCATCACTATATATTCTATTCTACAGGCGTTCGAGTCAACAGATCTACAATGTGACGCTGTTCTTCCTCTTTTTTATGTCACTGTATGGCCTTCTCGGAGTGCAGTTCTTTGGCGAGCTAAAGAATCACTGCGTGATGAATAACACGGGATATGATCTGCTGGGCAGACCGTAAGTACAATCAACTAAGAGTCTACCGATATCAAGTCTAACCCATGTATATATGTTTGCTTAAAAGCGTGCTTACCATCAATTCACTTGCAATACCGGACACCTTCTGTTCGATGGATCCGGATTCGGGCTATCAGTGCTCGCCGGGCATGCGATGCATGAAAATGGATTTTCTTAGCAGCTACGTTATCGGCTTCAATGGCTTCGAGGACATTGCTACGAGCATCTTTACCGTTTATCAGGCAGCCTCCCAGGAGGGTTGGGTGTTCATTATGTATCGTGCCATAGACTCGTTGCCTGCCTGGAGAGCCGCATTCTATTTCAGTACCATGATCTTCTTTTTGGCCTGGCTGGTTAAGAATGTTTTCATTGCGGTCATAACGGAGACCTTCAATGAAATTCGTGTGCAGTTCCAACAGATGTGGGGCGCAAGGGGTCACATACAAAAGACGGCTGCCTCACAAATACTGAGCGGTAACGATTCGGGTTGGCGTCTGGTCACCATTGATGATAATAAGCACGGCGGACTGGCACCAGAAACATGCCACGCTATATTACGCTCTCCCTATTTTCGCATGTTGGTGATGACTGTGATATTGGCGAATGGTATTGTGACTGCCACGATGGCATTCAAGCACGATGGGAGACCACGGCATGTATTTTATGAACGATATTACTACATCGAAGCTGTGTTCACGTTCCTGCTTGATCTGGAGACACTGTTCAAGATATATTGCTTGGGATGGCGGGGCTACTACAAGCACTCCATACACAAATTCGAGCTGCTTTTGGCTGTGGGCACAACCCTTCACATAGTGCCTATGTTCTATTTGTCCGGACTCACATACTTTCAGGTGCTGCGAGTGGTGCGACTAATCAAGGCCTCGCCCATGTTGGAGGGTTTTGTGTACAAGATTTTTGGACCGGGCAAGAAGCTCGGCTCGCTCATAATATTCACCATGTGCTTGCTAATCATTAGTTCGAGCATTTCGATGCAGCTATTTTGTTTTCTATGCGACTTCACAAAATTCGAATCGTTTCCGGAGGCCTTCATGTCTATGTTCCAGATTTTGACGCAGGAGGCCTGGGTGGAAGTCATGGATGAAACAATGATACGAACGAGTAAAACGTTGACGCCACTAGTGGCCGTTTATTTTATACTCTACCATCTGTTTGTCACACTCATTGTGCTCAGCTTGTTCGTGGCGGTCATTTTGGATAACTTGGAGCTCGATGAAGATATTAAAAAGCTGAAGCAGCTCAAGTTTCGCGAACAGAGCGCCGAAATCAAGGAGACACTGCCTTTTCGTCTGCGCATCTTTGAGAAGTTCCCCGACTCACCGCAGATGACCATTTTGCATCGCATACCCAACGACTTCATGCTGCCCAAGGTTCGTGAGTCCTTCATGAAGCACTTCGTCATTGAGCTAGAAACCGAGGATCCGGCACTTATTGAGAGCTGTAAGCGACCAATGTCCGAGTGTTGGGAGTCCAATGTGGTCTTCCGTAAACAAAAGCCGGTGCGCATCATGAATAAGACGGCGAAGGTGCGAGCGGCGGGCAGTAGTCTACGTAAGCTAGCCATTACGCATATAATTAAGTAAGTGGCTGGGAAAGTATATACATACATATGTCGCATGAGATTTTCAACCAACTGTTTTCTACAGCGACAGCAATAATCAGCGACTGATGTTGGGCGACTCGGCTATGCTGCCGGTCGTCGGCACGAAGGGAGGCCTTAAATCTCAGGGTACCATCACACATTCGAAGCCTTGGCGTGTGGACCAGAAGAAGTAAGTACGCTCATCTAGTCAGCGTCCGCGTTTGATGTGTATGCTACTTCACAGATTTGGTTCACGCTCTATACGCCGCAGCGTTCGTTCCGGTTCCATCAAGCTGAAGCAAACCTACGAGCATCTGATGGAGAATGGTGACATTGCGGCCGCACCACGTGCCAATTCAGGGCGAGCACGTCCGCATGATCTAGACATTAAGCTACTGCAGGCGAAGCGGCAGCAGGCGGAGATGCGGCGCAATCAACGGGAGGAGGATCTGAGGGAGAATCATCCGTTTTTTGACACACCGCTCTTTTTGGTTCCGCGCGAGAGCCGCTTCCGCAAAATCTGCCAGAAGATCGTGCATGCGCGGTACGATGCCCGGCTCAAGGATCCGTTGACGGGCAAGGAGCGCAAAGTGCAATACAAAAGTCTGCAGTAAGTCCATATGGCTTGGGTTTGGATAGCATCCGTTTTTACCGGCCCCTGTGCCTCTTATTGTTTGCAGCAACTTTTTGGGCCTTGTCACGTATCTGGATTGGGTCATGATTTTTGCCACCACACTTTCGTGCATCTCCATGATGTTTGAGACGCCCAATTATCGCGTCATGGATCACCCAACGCTGCAGATAGCCGAGTATGGTTTTGTCATTTTCATGAGCCTGGAGCTGGCCATGAAGATACTCGCCGACGGTCTGTTCTTTACGCCCAAAGCATACATCAAGGATGTTGCCGCGGCCCTCGATGTGTTCATCTACGTGGTTTCCACGTCTTTTCTGTGCTGGATGCCCCTTAACATACCGACCAATTCGGCAGCACAGCTTCTCATGATTTTGCGCTGTGTTCGGCCACTGAGAATCTTCACATTGGTGCCGCACATGCGTAAGGTTGTCTACGAGCTGTGTCGCGGCTTTAAGGAGATCCTGTTGGTATCCACGCTCTTGATCCTGCTCATGTTCATTTTCGCCAGCTATGGTGTACAGTTGTATGGTGGTCGGCTAGCTCGCTGCAATGATCCGACAATACCGCGTCGGGAGGACTGTGTGGGCGTTTTTATGAGACGTGTGTTTGTGACGAAAATGAAGTTGACTCCGGGAGTGGATGAGTCATATCCGGCAATGCTGGTGCCACGTGTTTGGGCCAATCCGCGACGCTTCAATTTCGATAATATCGGCGACGCCATGCTGACCCTCTTTGAGGTGTTATCCTTCAAAGGTTGGCTGGATGTACGAGATGTTTTGATCAAAGCTGTGGGTCCGGTAAGCGACTATTATTCATAAATATTTTTCCTCTATTAGCCATTAACTCTATTAATAATTGTTTAGATACATGCCATCTACATTCACATCTACATTTTCTTGGGCTGCATGATCGGCTTGACACTGTTCGTGGGCGTGGTCATTGCCAACTACTCGGAGAACAAGGGCACAGCGCTGCTGACTGTAGACCAGCGTCGCTGGTGTGACCTGAAAAAGCGTCTGAAAATTGCTCAGCCCTTACACTTGCCACCACGTCCGGATGGGCGAAAAATACGCGCCTTCACCTACGATATTACGCAGCACATTATTTTCAAACGCGTCATTGCTGTGGTCGTTCTAATCAATAGCATGCTCCTCTCCATAACGGTGAGTGTCCAGGGTGTGCCTTATAGGCAAAAAATTTATACAGAAACTCGTCTATAAAAAGTAAGCACTGCTTAATCTAAAGAACAGTTTGCTTGACTATTAATATTATTATTTATTTATTGATACAAATTACAATATTTTTATAACAGACAAAATGAAATATAATATATGAAATATATATATTGGCCATAGGACCAGCTATGACCCGATTCACAGCCAAATGTTATCAGAGACGTTATAGACCTAACAAAGGATAGTGAGCAGAGGAGAAAAATAAATTCTAATTAAGAGCTAATAAAAATAATTAAGAAAACATAGAGATAAAAGGAAATCTCCAACCCAGTGGGGGAAATTTTATTAGACGGTCTGAGATTTTTCCGGAGATAACTAAAGAGGGCAATTCTTATAGAATAAAGAGGCAGAGAGAGAGAGAGAGAAAGAGAGAGAGAGAGAGAAAGAGAGAGAGAGTTCTGGATGAAGTAAATGCGAAAGTTCATTGTAGTTCGAACAAATAACGCGAGAGCAATTGTGCATCTAGACAAGATGAATGGAAAATAATGCCTGTTGTTGGTCTACAAGAAACAGAAAAATTTACAAAAAATGTAAAAATTAAAACTGCCCCCAGAACAGTACTACGAATTACCGAATGAAGGAAGGTTTTCAGTCTGCTAGAATAGGATGTTAAGCAAAGGTTGGTATCCCAGCTTAAATCACGTAGCGCAAAAAGAAGGAATTGCTTCTGAACAGACTCAATACGCTCCTGATGCTGATATTAATAGCATACCTGAACAGTTCGACGAGTTTGTATATAAACTATTTTCACCTGTCTGCCCGCACCATTAGTTTTGTTTAGCTCTAAAGGCTTGCTACTCTTTTGTTCACAGTGGATCAAAGGCGAGGTACACACGGAGCGTTTGGTCATTGTCAGCGCTGTTTTAACCTTTGTTTTTGTCATCGAAGTGGTTATGAAGAACATTGCGTTCACGCCACGCGGATATTGGCAATCGCGGCGTAATCGCTACGACCTGCTCGTCACTGTTGCCGGAGTCATCTGGATAATTCTGCAGACTATTTTGAGGGTCAGTGGATGCGTTGAGTGCCACGATTCCATAATATTAATGCTCTATATTTATTGTTGTTTTTGTAGAATGATTTGTCCTACTTCTTTGGGTTCATGGTCGTCATACTTCGCTTTTTTACGATTACTGGCAAGCACACCACATTGAAGATGCTGATGTTGACGGTGGGCGTTTCTGTCTGCAAATCCTTCTTCATTATTTTTGGCATGTTCCTGCTGGTCTTCTTCTATGCCTTGGCCGGCACCATACTCTTCGGTTAGTATATGGAATATAGTGGAATGATGCTGAACTATAATTTATCTTTTGTTTATTTCGCAGGTACGGTAAAGTATGGCGAGGGTATTGGACGTCGTGCAAACTTTGGATCGCCAGTGACGGGCGTTGCAATGTTATTTCGAATTGTCACCGGTGAGGATTGGAATAAGATAATGCATGACTGTATGGTGCAGCCTCCGTACTGCACGTTGGGCGGAAACTACTGGGAGACCGACTGTGGAAATTTCACGGCCAGTCTAATATACTTCTGCACCTTCTATGTCATCATTACATATATTGTGCTCAATCTTCTAGTGGGTAAGCACAAATCAAGGTCTGTTTAGGTGAACTGTATTAAATTCCAATTGCATTCCCTGCAGCTATTATCATGGAGAACTTTTCGCTATTTTATTCAAACGAGGAGGATGCCTTACTTTCCTACGCAGACATACGAAACTTTCAGAACACTTGGAACATTGTCGACATACATCAGCGTGGTGTGATTCCCGTGCGACGTGTTAAGTTCATTCTGCGACTTCTTAAGGGCCGTCTAGAGTGTGATCCGCAAAAGGATCGACTGCTGTTCAAGTACATGTGCTACGAGCTGGACAAACTGCACAATGGAGAGGATGTCACATTTCACGATGTCATTAAGTAAGTGCCAGAGCCATATATTTTCATATACTATGTGTACATACTATATACAAGTATGTATGTAACTTAGATGATTGCTCGTGTCAATGGTTTCATATATAAATGTTTTTACAGCATGTTGTCTTATCGGTCTGTTGACATACGTAAGGCGCTGCAGCTGGAGGAGCTGTTGGCGCGCGAGGAATTCGAGTACCTGGTGGAGGAGGAAGTGGCCAAGATGACAATAAGAACTTGGTTGGAGGGCTGCTTGAAAAAGATACGCGCTCAGAATGCCAGCGTAGGTCTCACAATGTCATACATTCTCTATCTCTGTCTAACGCTTCTTTTTTTTGTTGTCCTTTGGCAGAAGCAGCAAAACTCGTTAATTGCTGGCCTGCGAGCGACCAACGAACAGCCTGTGATGCGTCCCAACGTCCAGGAGGATAAAACGCCCATTGGCGTTGTGGACAAGTCGGCTATATCGACAATTAGTGGTGCCGTAGCCGGCACCTGCCCGCCCACCAGTGACGCCTTTTCGCCCACCTTTAGCTCCACGGAGAACGAGGAGAAGGATGCCAGCAGTAGTGCCGTGGGGCTGCCCCATGGTGAGACGCATACTGCTGCCCGTCATGTGGTTGCGGCAACAAAACGTGCCTATGCATTAAATCGTTCCGATTCTACGGGCAGTTCGGCGGGCAGAAAATTTCTAGCACCCACCTCCTCCGATCCCCAACAACGCTCAACGCTCAGCGACAAGGAACGCTTGCATATCAGCAGTCAGCAGCGTAAAAAAAACTCCATGACCACACTGCCGAATATGTCGGCGGCCCTGTACAAGCGGGATGCCATCAAATCGTCGGGTTTCTTTGCGCAACTAAACAACGAAATAGCACAGTTTCATTATCCGACAATCAATGCAGCAGCCGCCGCTTCTGCCGCCGCCGCAGCCGCCGCCAACCACTATGCCGATCATCATCATGGCGCCCTCGGCAGTCCATCGGGCATGGTGGGTCACCTGATGGCGGGCAGTGGCAAGCTGCTGCCTTTCAATAATCAGGCGAATGCGGTGTACGAGGTTCATGATTGGTGGCAGGAGCAGGTTCTCTGCACCCAAACCAGCGACGATGAGGTCTAAAGATTAGCCAACTGACCATAAAAACGCTAAAATGCAACCACGCAGCCAAAGCCACAGCCATTCACATAATGCATGCGTTAAGCATATTTATACATAACCTTAAACCATGTCTAATAATTTCAAAAATCCAGAGGGTATTACCAATCCTCGCGAGAGATTTGATTTATTTAAAAAATTTGTTCTACCCTGTATCCGAATATTGAATGGGAAGGTTCCAAATACAGACAAACCCCAGGTTATAGGTATGAGACGAACGATGGAAACGTCTGTCCGTATGAACATAAAGAACTTTTGAACCATAACAGCTAGGGACACTAAACATACTTGTATGCAGAGCAGTTTTATCACAAAAAATGTTTTGTTTATATGGCTCTGCATAAGTGGATAAACCATATTGTAAAGCTGTCACGGAAATGGTTGGAACAACAAAGTTTATTTCAGCTAAAAGCCTGTTGCGGCAAAAAGTGTGGGTACAGGGTAATCAAAAGTCAGGCTGGCACGACTTTCACCTTCTATTTTCATGAATTCGCGAGGAGTGTACAAAATTAAGTAGAATAGGAAATAATGTTATTGAATGCCTTGAAAGCTATATTTAATTGTACGGAAATTTGTCGAAATTCAGAAGCATGTCATGAAGTATTAAGTATTATAATATTCGATTCGATTAGAGCCGATAACAATTTGAAGCTTTTTCGGTATTTCGACCAGAAATTTAATTATGCTAACAAGAATTCGTTTGCCATTTAATAAAACTACATAGAATAAATTTTATTTCCACCAGATGCGCCCTAAAAATAGGTAAACAATTGCCCATCTCTAGAGTGTAGGCCCTTGGTGTGTTCATAAGTTTACCATATCGAGCGTTAACTGTATGGGTAATCCAACATAATTCGCTCGAGTCTTACTTTCAATATTAATATACGAGATATATACCAATATATATATATATTCATATATATATGTATATTTACAATTCTCCGATTTTGTATAAATGAATTAACGCACACACACAGAACACACACATATGTAGCTGTAACATTTACTTAGTGGCCTAGAGTTTTCTATATACAATACATATACATATATGTAATAAGCGTAATGTTAATTGTAAATATCGGCACGTTGTTCAGTCCGATCAGTCTAGAGTTCTAGACGCCTAAATGCTGCGCGTAGCTCGATAACAAAAAATCAAAACAAAACAAAAAAAAAAAAAATAATAAAACAACAAGAATTTTGGTCATTATGTTCAAGTTCAGCCAAAGATGCCATTGCGATCTGCACACATATATATATGTACATATATACATACATGCATAGCTAATCCACTTTTTCGAATACCCCTACGAGAACGCGTGCCTCCCTCTTCCATCATTTTAACACACAAACTGCTGGCAGAAATAAAGGGGATACATTAATATTGCTAATTATTATATACATATATATATATATATATATATATATATATATATATATATATATATATATATATATATATATATATATATATATATCTCTTTTTTATAATCGTATGTAAATTATCAGGTTTTCCCAACTATGGAACAACTATGTATTTCTCTCCCACTTACAGATGTATTGCATGAGTTATTGTTTCATGAAGCTCTCAAACTATATAATATATGAACAATCTGTTTTGATATACATATATATGTGACAGTTGCAGAGAGTGAGGCTGCTGGGTTGGTTGGTTACGCACAATATATGTATGTACTAGGTTTTGTTGTTGTTTATGTATTACGTAATATAGTTGGGTCAGTAACTTTGTTATAGATTAAAATATTTATAAAATTACTATTTATATAAAGAAGTATATATATATATTAATACTATATATATACATAGTAAAAAATAATTAATAAAAATATGTATAGTGCAAATTTATGAGCGCGCCGCTCGATAGCAACAACTAACAACTTTGGCCAAATACGAAACCAATGTGTAATTGCCAAATATAAACATTAACTAGAGAAGCAACAAATTCACGAAAATCGAAACAGCTAGTTTATACATACTAACTTAATGTAGATAAGTACATATTATTATATAGTATATATATATAGACAGGAAGAGATGCTTATATGAACAAATTATTTTAACAAGAAGCAACAGCAAACAGATGTAGACAGGCGTGTCTCGCCCAGTATAACAAAAGAAGTTATTGTAATAAAATGTAATGATGAAAGGGAAAATTCCAATTACATATGAGTACGTCTAAAAAAAACACAAACAACAACAACAAAAATAAAATAAAATCGTTGAAATTGTATATAACACTGCTATTGGGAATTTTTTCAAAAAAACGTTTTAAAAAAAATCCCTCAGCTACGCTTTGTACACTGCACCGACACGTGCCACACACAGAGCGTGTAATACGGGGGGCGTACGTGCGGCCTTCTAAGTTTTGTTTTTTACACTATATACATAGCACCCTAAACTGACCTGCCCCAAAGATTACGAGGCGTTTTGCAGCACGGACTTGAATGCCGTTCGCATGTGCACGCAGAAACAGCGCGGGAAACGCATATATTTTTAGACCGATCGCATTTGAGGAATTCAAATTTTTGCACATTTCGGCAACCCGCATCGGTCTGCGTAATAGTTGCACACTAAATTGCCAGCAAAATCACTGCTGCTTAAAAGGGCAGGATTGTTCCAGACGACAGTTAGTATCGAAGGCGACGTGTAGCTGTGGACACTGTACGACCACTTAGACACACTGAACCCATCACTTCCGCTTTGCCAAAAAAGGATGCACATTAGTGCGAATCACTAATAAGATGAAACTTATTCTTATATTCTTACTGGTCGCAGCCAGCAATGCGTTCACGCTATTTGGGCCCCATATTCGCCTTGTCCCTGGCGACAGTCCAAACGAAATTGTATTGCACTTCCGAAACCCGTGCAACAACAAGCCGAGCCGTACAACGACTCTGCAGCCGCCGACACCACCATGCGAGCACAGCACAAGCACGTCTCAACCAAAAACAACGAAGTGCCCCCACGAAACAACTACTCCAAAAACAACGCAATGTCCGCACGAACCAACAACGCCAACAACAACGCAATGTCCGCACGAACCAACAACTTCTCAGACGCCAACAACTCCTAAAATAACGACGCCTACAACTCCTAAAATAACGACTCCAACAACTCCTAAAATAACGACTCCAACAACTCCTAAAATAACGACGCCCACTACTCCTAAAATAACGACGCCCACAACTCCTAAGATAACAACTCAGACAACTCCCAAGATAACGACTCCAACAACTCCAAAGATAACAACGCCTACAACTCCTAAAATCACGACTCCAACAACTCCTAAAATCACGACAACTTCTCAGACGCCAACAACTCCTAAAATAACGACGCCCACAACTCCTAAAATAACGACGCCCACAACTCCTAAGATAACAACGCCTACAACTCCTAAGATAACAACGCCTACAACTCCTAAAATAACGACGCCTACAACTCCTAAAATAACGACGCCTACAACTCCTAAAATAACGACTCCAACAACTCCTAATATAACGACTCCAACAACTCCTAAAATAACGACGCCCACTACTCCTAAAATAACGACGCCCACAACTCCTAAGATAACGACTCCAACAACTCCCAAGATAACGACTCCAACAACTCCCAAGATAACAACGCCTACAACTCCTACAATAACGACGCCCACAACTCCTAAAATAACGACGCCCACAACCCCTAAAATAACGACGCCTACAACTCCTAAAATAACGACGCCCACAACCCCTAAAATCACGACGCCCACAACTCCTAAAATCACGTCGCCTACAACTCCTAAAATCACGTCGCCTACAACTCCTAAAATAACGACGCCCACAACCCCTAAAATAACGACGCCCACAACTCCTAAGATAACAACGCCTACAACTCCTAAAATCACGTCGCCTACAACTCCTAATATAACGACGCCCACAACCCCTAAAATAACGACGCCCACAACTCCTAAAATAACGACGCCTACAACTCCTAAAATAACGACGCCCACAACTCCTAAAATAACGACGCCCACAACCCCTAAAATCACGACGCCCACAACTCCTAAGATAACGACTCCAACAACTCCCAAGATAACAACGCCTACAACTCCTAAAATCACGTCGCCTACAACTCCTAAAATAACGACGCCCACAACTCCTAAAATCACGTCGCCTACAACTCCTAAAATAACGACGCCCACAACTCCTAAGATAACAACTCCAACAACTCCCAAGATAACGACGCCTACAACTCCTAAAATCACGACGCCCACAACTCCTAAAATAACGACGCCCACAACTCCTAAGATAACAACGCCTACAACTCCTAAAATCACGTCGCCTACAACTCCTAAAATAACGACGCCCACAACCCCTAAAATCACGACGCCCACAACTCCTAAAATAACGACGCCCACAACTCCTAAGATAACAACGCCTACAACTCCTAAGATAACAACGCCTACAACTCCTAAAATCACGTCGCCAACAACTCCTAAAATCACGTCGCCTACAACTCCTAAAATAACGACGCCTACAACTCCTAAAATAACGACGCCTACAACTCCTAAAATAACGACTCCCACAACCCCTAAAATCACGACGCCCACAACTCCTAAGATAACGACTCCAACAACTCCCAAGATAACAACGCCTACAACTCCTAAAATCACGTCGCCTACAACTCCTAAAATAACGACGCCCACAACTCCTAAAATCACGTCGCCTACAACTCCTAAAATAACGACGCCCACAACTCCTAAGATAACGACTCCAACAACTCCCAAGATAACGACGCCCACAACTCCTAAGATAACAACGCCTACAACTCCTAAAATCACGACGCCCACAACTCCTAAAATAACGACTCCAACAACTCCTAAAATAACGACGCCTACAACTCCTAAAATAACGACGCCTACAACTCCTAAAATAACGACGCCCACAACCCCTAAAATCACGACGCCCACAACTCCTAAAATAACGACGCCCACAACTCCTAAAATAACGACGCCCACAACCCCTAAAATCACGACGCCTACAACTCCTAAAATAACGACTCCAACAACTCCTAAAATAACGACGCCTACAACTCCTAAAATAACGACGCCTACAACTCCTAAAATAACGACGCCCACAACCCCTAAAATCACGACGCCCACAACTCCTAAAATAACGACGCCCACAACTCCTAAGATAACAACGCCTACAACTCCTAAGATAACAACGCCTACAACTCCTAAAATCACGTCGCCTACAACTCCTAAAATCACGACGCCCACAACTCCTAAAATAACGACGCCCACAACTCCTAAAATAACGACGCCCACAACTCCTAAAATCACGTCGCCTACAACTCCTAAAATCACGTCGCCTACAACTCCTAAAATAACGACGCCTACAACTCCTAAAATAACGACGCCTACAACTCCTAAAATAACGACGCCTACAACTCCTAAAATAACGACGCCCACAACCCCTAAAATCACGACGCCCACAACTCCTAAGATAACGACTCCAACAACTCCTAAGATAACAACGCCCACAACTCCTAAAATCACGTCGCCTACAACTCCTAAAATAACGACGCCCACAACCCCTAAAATCACGACGCCCACAACTCCTAAGATAACGACTCCAACAACTCCCAAGATAACAACGCCCACAACTCCTAAAATCACGTCGCCTACAACTCCTAAAATAACGACGCCCACAACCCCTAAAATCACGTCGCCTACAACTCCTAAAATCACGTCGCCTACAACTCCTAAAATAACGACGCCCACAACCCCTAAAATCACGACGCCCACAACTCCTAAGATAACGACTCCAACAACTCCCAAGATAACAACGCCTACAACTCCTAAAATCACGTCGCCTACAACTCCTAAAATAACGACGCCCACAACTCCTAAAATCACGTCGCCTACAACTCCTAAAATAACGACGCCTACAACTCCCAAGATAACAACGCCCACAACTCCTAAAATCACGTCGCCTACAACTCCTAAAATAACGACGCCCACAACCCCTAAAATCACGTCGCCTACAACTCCTAAAATAACGACGCCCACAACTCCTAAAATAACGACGCCTACAACTCCTAAAATCACGACGCCCACAACTCCTAAGATAACGACTCCAACAACTCCCAAGATAACAACGCCTACAACTCCTAAAATCACGTCGCCTACAACTCCTAAAATAACGACGCCCACAACTCCTAAAATCACGTCGCCTACAACTCCTAAAATAACGACGCCTACAACTCCTAAAATAACGACGCCTACAACTCCTAAAATAACGACGCCCACAACTCCTAAAATAACGACGCCCACAACCCCTAAAATCACGACGCCTACAACTCCTAAAATAACGACTCCAACAACTCCTAAAATAACGACGCCTACAACTCCTAAAATAACGACGCCTACAACTCCTAAAATAACGACGCCCACAACCCCTAAAATCACGACGCCCACAACTCCTAAAATAACGACGCCCACAACTCCTAAGATAACAACGCCTACAACTCCTAAGATAACAACGCCTACAACTCCTAAAATCACGTCGCCTACAACTCCTAAAATCACGACGCCCACAACTCCTAAAATAACGACGCCCACAACCCCTAAAATAACGACGCCCACAACTCCTAAAATCACGTCGCCTACAACTCCTAAAATCACGTCGCCTACAACTCCTAAAATAACGACGCCTACAACTCCTAAAATAACGACGCCTACAACTCCTAAAATAACGACGCCTACAACTCCTAAAATAACGACGCCCACAACCCCTAAAATCACGACGCCCACAACTCCTAAGATAACGACTCCAACAACTCCTAAGATAACAACGCCCACAACTCCTAAAATCACGTCGCCTACAACTCCTAAAATAACGACGCCCACAACCCCTAAAATCACGACGCCCACAACTCCTAAGATAACGACTCCAACAACTCCCAAGATAACAACGCCCACAACTCCTAAAATCACGTCGCCTACAACTCCTAAAATAACGACGCCCACAACCCCTAAAATCACGTCGCCTACAACTCCTAAAATCACGTCGCCTACAACTCCTAAAATAACGACGCCCACAACCCCTAAAATCACGCCGCCCACAACTCCTAAGATAACGACTCCAACAACTCCCAAGATAACAACGCCTACAACTCCTAAAATCACGTCGCCTACAACTCCTAAAATAACGACGCCCACAACTCCTAAAATCACGTCGCCTACAACTCCTAAAATAACGACGCCTACAACTCCCAAGATAACAACGCCCACAACTCCTAAAATCACGTCGCCTACAACTCCTAAAATAACGACGCCCACAACCCCTAAAATCACGTCGCCTACAACTCCTAAAATAACGACGCCCACAACTCCTAAAATAACGACGCCTACAACTCCTAAAATCACGACGCCCACAACTCCTAAGATAACGACTCCAACAACTCCCAAGATAACAACGCCTACAACTCCTAAAATCACGTCGCCTACAACTCCTAAAATAACGACGCCCACAACTCCTAAAATCACGTCGCCTACAACTCCTAAAATAACGACGCCTACAACTCCTAAAATAACGACGCCTACAACTCCTAAAATAACGACGCCCACAACTCCTAAAATAACGACGCCCACAACCCCTAAAATCACGACGCCTACAACTCCTAAAATAACGACTCCAACAACTCCTAAAATAACGACGCCTACAACTCCTAAAATAACGACGCCTACAACTCCTAAAATAACGACGCCCACAACCCCTAAAATCACGACGCCCACAACTCCTAAAATAACGACGCCCACAACTCCTAAGATAACAACGCCTACAACTCCTAAGATAACAACGCCTACAACTCCTAAAATCACGTCGCCTACAACTCCTAAAATCACGACGCCCACAACTCCTAAAATAACGACGCCCACAACCCCTAAAATAACGACGCCCACAACTCCTAAAATCACGTCGCCTACAACTCCTAAAATCACGTCGCCTACAACTCCTAAAATAACGACGCCTACAACTCCTAAAATAACGACGCCTACAACTCCTAAAATAACGACGCCTACAACTCCTAAAATAACGACGCCCACAACCCCTAAAATCACGACGCCCACAACTCCTAATATAACGACTCCAACAACTCCTAAGATAACAACGCCCACAACTCCTAAAATCACGTCGCCTACAACTCCTAAAATAACGACGCCCACAACCCCTAAAATCACGACGCCCACAACTCCTAAGATAACGACTCCAACAACTCCCAAGATAACAACGCCCACAACTCCTAAAATCACGTCGCCTACAACTCCTAAAATAACGACGCCCACAACCCCTAAAATCACGTCGCCTACAACTCCTAAAATCACGTCGCCTACAACTCCTAAAATAACGACGCCCACAACCCCTAAAATCACGACGCCCACAACTCCTAAGATAACGACTCCAACAACTCCCAAGATAACAACGCCTACAACTCCTAAAATCACGTCGCCTACAACTCCTAAAATAACGACGCCCACAACTCCTAAAATCACGTCGCCTACAACTCCTAAAATAACGACGCCTACAACTCCCAAGATAACAACGCCCACAACTCCTAAAATCACGTCGCCTACAACTCCTAAAATAACGACGCCCACAACCCCTAAAATCACGTCGCCTACAACTCCTAAAATAACGACGCCCACAACTCCTAAAATAACGACGCCTACAACTCCTAAAATCACGACGCCCACAACTCCTAAGATAACGACTCCAACAACTCCCAAGATAACAACGCCTACAACTCCTAAAATCACGTCGCCTACAACTCCTAAAATAACGACGCCCACAACTCCTAAAATCACGTCGCCTACAACTCCTAAAATAACGACGCCTACAACTCCTAAAATAACGACGCCTACAACTCCTAAAATAACGACGCCCACAACTCCTAAAATAACGACGCCCACAACCCCTAAAATCACGACGCCCACAACTCCTAAGATAACAACGCCTACAACTCCTAAAATCACGTCGCCTACAACTCCTAAAATAACGACGCCCACAACTCCTAAAATCACGTCGCCTACAACTCCTAAAATAACGACGCCTACAACTCCTAAAATAACGACGCCCACAACCCCTAAAATCACGACGCCCACAACTCCTAAGATAACGACTCCAACAACTCCCAAGATAACAACGCCTACAACTCCTAAAATCACGTCGCCTACAACTCCTAAAATAACGACGCCCACAACTCCTAAAATCACGTCGCCCACAACTCCTAAAATCACGTCGCCTACAACTCCTAAAATAACGACGCCCACAACCCCTAAAATCACATCGCCTACAACTCCTAAAATAACGACGCCCACAACTCCTAAAATAACGACGCCCACAACCCCTAAAATCACGACGCCCACAACTCCTAAGATAACGACTCCAACAACTCCCAAGATAACAACGCCTACAACTCCTAAAATCACGTCGCCTACAACTCCTAAAATAACGACGCCCACAACTCCTAAAATCACGTCGCCCACAACTCCTAAAATCACGTCGCCTACAACTCCTAAAATAACGACGCCCACAACCCCTAAAATCACGACGCCCACAACTCCTAAGATAACAACGCCTACAACTCCTAAAATCACGTCGCCTACAACTCCTAAAATAACGACGCCTACAACTCCTAAAATAACGACTCCTACAACTCCTAAAATAACGACGCCCACAACTCCTAAAATAACGACGCCCACAACCCCTAAAATCACGACGCCCACAACTCCTAAGATAACGACTCCAACAACTCCCAAGATAACAACGCCCACAACTCCTAAAATCACGTCGCCTACAACTCCTAAAATAACGACGCCCACAACAACTAAAATCACGTCGCCTACAACTCCTAAAATAACGACGCCAACAACTCCTAAAATAACGACGCCCACAACCCCTAAAATCACGACGCCCACAACTCCTAAAATAACGACGCCCACAACCCCTAAAATCACGTCGCCTACAACTCCTAAAATCACGTCGCCTACAACTCCTAAAATAACGACGCCCACAACCCCTAAAATCACGACGCCCACAACTCCTAAGATAACGACTCCAACAACTCCCAAGATAACAACGCCTACAACTCCTAAAATCACGTCGCCTACAACTCCTAAAATAACGACGCCCACAACTCCTAAAATCACGTCGCCTACAACTCCTAAAATAACGACGCCTACAACTCCTAAAATAACGACGCCTACAACTCCTAAAATAACGACGCCCACAACTCCTAAAATAACGACGCCCACAACCCCAAAAATCACGACGCCCACAACTCCTAAGATAACAACGCCCACAACTCCTAAAATCACGTCGCCTACAACTCCTAAAATAACGACGCCCACAACCCCTAAAATCACGACGCCCACAACTCCTAAGATAACGACTCCAACAACTCCCAAGATAACAACGCCCACAACTCCTAAAATCACGTCGCCTACAACTCCTAAAATAACGACGCCCACAACTCCTAAAATCACGTCGCCTACAACTCCTAAAATAACGACGCCTACAACTCCCAAGATAACAACGCCCACAACTCCTAAAATCACGTCGCCTACAACTCCTAAAATAACGACTCCAACAACTCCTAAAATAACGACTCCAACAACTCCTAAAATAACGACGCCCACAACTCCTAAAATAACGACGCCTACAACACCTAAAATCACGACGCCCACAACTCCTAAGATAACGACGCCCACAACTCCTAAGATAACAACGCCTACAACTCCTAAAATCACGTCGCCTACAACTCCTAAAATCACGTCGCCTACAACTCCTAAAATAACGACGCCTACAACTCCTAAAATAACGACGCCTACAACTCCTAAAATAACGACGCCTACAACCCCTAAAATCACGACGCCCACAACTCCTAAGATAACGACTCCAACAACTCCCAAGATAACAACGCCCACAACTCCTAAAATCACGTCGCCTACAACTCCTAAAATAACGACGCCCACAACCCCTAAAATCACGTCGCCTACAACTCCTAAAATCACGTCGCCTACAACTCCTAAAATAACGACGCCCACAACCCCTAAAATAACGACTCCCACAACTCCTAAAATCACGTCGCCTACAACTCCTAAAATAACGACACCCACAACCCCTAAGATAACGACGCCTACAACTCCTAAAATAACGACTCCAACAACTCCTAAAATCACGACGCCCACAACTCCTAAAATAACGACGCCAACAACTCCTAAAATAACGACGCCCACAACTCCTAAAATCACGTCGCCTACAACTCCTAAAATAACGACGCCCACAACTCCTAAAATCACGTCGCCTACAACTCCTAAAATCACGTCGCCTACAACTCCTAAAATCACGACGCCCACAACTCCTAAGATAACGACTCCAACAACTCCCAAGATAACAACGCCTACAACTCCTAAAATCACGTCGCCTACAACTCCTAAAATTACGACGCCTACAACTCCTAAAATAACGACGCCTACAACTCCTAAAATAACGAAGCCTACAACTCCTAAAATAACGACGCCCACAACCCCTAAAATCACGACGCCCACAACTCCTAAAATAACGACGCCCACAACTCCTAAGATAACAACGCCTACAACTCCTAAAATCACGTCGCCTACAACTCCTAAAATCACGTCGCCTACAACTCCTAAAATAACGACGCCTACAACTCCTAAAATAACGACGCCCACAACTCCTAAGATAACGACTCCAACAACTCCCAAGATAACAACGCCTACAACTCCTAAAATCACGTCGCCTACAACTCCTAAAATAACGACGCCCACAACTCCTAAAATCACGTCGCCTACAACTCCTAAAATAACGACGCCCACAACTCCTAAGATAACAACGCCTACAACTCCTAAAATCACGTCGCCTACAACTCCTAAAATCACGTCGCCTACAACTCCTAAAATAACGACGCCTACAACTCCTAAAATAACGACGCCTACAACTCCTAAAATAACGACGCCTACAACCCCTAAAATCACGACGCCCACAACTCCTAAGATAACGACTCCAACAACTCCCAAGATAACAACGCCCACAACTCCTAAAATCACGTCGCCTACAACTCCTAAAATAACGACGCCCACAACCCCTAAAATCACGTCGCCTACAACTCCTAAAATCACGTCGCCTACAACTCCTAAAATAACGACGCCCACAACCCCTAAAATAACGACTCCCACAACTCCTATAATCACGTCGCCTACAACTCCTAAAATAACGACACCCACAACCCCTAAGATAACGACGCCTACAACTCCTAAAATAACGACTCCAACAACTCCTAAAATCACGACGCCCACAACTCCTAAAATAACGACGCCCACAACTCCTAAAATAACGACGCCGACAACTCCTAAAATCACGTCGCCTACAACTCCTAAAATAACGACGCCCACAACTCCTAAAATCACGTCGCCTACAACTCCTAAAATCACGTCGCCTACAACTCCTAAGATAACGACGCCCACAACACCTAAGATAACAACGCCTACAACTCCCAAAATCACGTCACCTACAACTCCTAAAATCACGACGCCTACAACTCCTAAAATAACGACGCCCACAACTCCTAAAATAACGACTCCAACAACTCCTAAGATAACGACTCCAACAACGCCCAAGATAACAACGCCTACAACTCCTAAAGTCACGACTCCTACAACTCCTAAAATCACGAAGCCTACAACTCCTAAAATCACGACTCCAACAACTCCTAAAGTAACGAAGCCTACAACTCCTAAAGTAACGACTCCAACAACTCCTAAAATCACGAAGCCCACAACTCCTAAAATCACGACGCCCACAACTCCTAAAATAACGAACCCTACAACTCCTGAAATTACGAAGCCTACAACTCCTAAAATCACGACTCCAACAACTCCTAAAGTAACGAAGCCTACAACTCCTAAAGTAACGACTCCAACAACTCCTAAAATAACCTATCCAACAAAACCTACGACACCTGAAGTAACGAAACCAACTAAGCCATCTAAGCCAACAACACTTAAGCCGACGAGTCCAACTAAACCGACATATCCAACAGAATCCACAACACCCAAATTTACCAGGCCAACTACTCTAAGTCCAACCAAGCCCACAAAACCAACAAAGCCAACCGGGCCAACTTATCCTACATATCCCACTTACAAACCGACTAAACCAACCTATAAGCCTACATGGAAACCAACCAGCAAGCCCACGAGGAAACCAAACCATAGCTCAGAGAGCCATGAGCACGATGACTCCAAATCTAAGGAAGACAACAGCTCAGAGGGTCACTCGAAGCCAACTCGCAAGCCACATAACAGCTCAGGAAGTCATGAAGACAACAGCTCAAAGGGTCACTCGAAGCCAACTCGCAAGCCACATAACAGCTCAGGAAGTCATGAAGACAACAGCTCAGAGGGTCACTCGAAGCCAACTCGCAAGCCACATAACAGCTCAGGAAGTCATGAAGACAACAGCTCAAAGGGTCACTCGAAGCCAACTCGCAAGCCACATAACAGCTCAGGAAGTCATGAAGACAACAGCTCAGAGGGTCACTCGAAGCCAACTCGCAAGCCACACAACAGTTCAGGAAGTCATGAGGGTGATGATTCCAAATCTAAGGAAGACAACAGCTCAAAGGGTCACTCGAAGCCAACTAGCAAGCCACACAACAGTTCAGGAAGTCATGAGGGTGATGATTCCAAATCTAAGGAAGACAACAGCTCAAAGGGTCACTCGAAGCCAACTAGCAAGCCACACAACAGTTCAGGAAGTCATGAGGGTGATGATTCCAAATCTAAGGAAGACAACAGCTCAAAGGGTCACTCGAAGCCAACTAGCAAGCCACACAAAAGCTCAGGAAGTCATGAGGGTGATGATTCCAAATCTAAGGAAGACAACAGCTCAAAGGGTCACTCGAAGCCAACTAGCAAGCCACACAAAAGCTCAGGAAGTCATGAGGGTGATGATTCCAAATCTAAGGAAGACAACAGCTCAAAGGGTCACTCGAAGCCCCCTCAGAGTTCAGGTAGCCAAAAGGGAGATGACTCCAAATCCAAAGAGGACAACAACTCAAAAGGTAACTGGAAGCAAACTAGTAGCCCAGGAAAAGAAACGATTTAAAATTCACGTGTAAATATGCCAACGGGAAGGAGTTCCTAAGGAACCAAAGCTGACGACATCTTGTTAAACAAAGTTAAGAGACTTTTAAAGTCATTAAAGTCATAAGAATGATTAAGTCCATTTAGGAACTCAGCCCACCAGCCCTCATTGGATCGCTCTTGAAGTGGATTTACGAGATTATCTCCAGAATGCCAACAATAATACATGTTTTAAGGATTTTTTTTATAGTGTTCTATTTTTGTGTGAAGTTTTGAAAAACTAATAAATACAGGGATTATTTTGATTAAAAAAGTATGCTATTACTTTTATTATAGAAACAATTGGACAATCGAGCCTTTATATTCCTTTCGAAATACAATGCAAAAACAACTCCTAGAAGTGTTCCAAAAATTGATTTTCTCTGAAATTGCATTACGGTACGTTTTTTTTTTAATTACAACCAAAACAAGAACACCCAAGTGAAATGCACATAAAACAATATACAAGTGTACCTAAAGATGCAGTTTAATAGAAAATTCGTAATACCTATAGAAGGTATATATCATATTTGGGTTATGGAATCTTAAAATAATCGTGGCAATGTGGGTTCATGCAGCATGAATCAAAATAAGCGGCTTTCATTAAAAAAAATACACGAGGAAATGAATCATAATAATAAACTAGTTGGGTACCCCTAGAGCTTACTTACATACGTTTGGAGGATTTCATAATCTTACATCAAGTGTTCTATAAAAAAAATATATATATAAAATTGATAGCTAGGATAGGTAGAATTTGTGGCGGGCAGAATACTTAAAAAATTAAATTGGTATGTTATTGTCTAGTAAATTGCCATCCTCGGCACTCTCCTCGCTATCGTAGTCATAAACGGCATCTTTCCAGTCACATAATGCTGGATATTTCTCGCTTACTCGATATGGACACTTCGAAGCCATCGGTCCCGTTTGGTAGATCGGCTCGTTAAATATGTTATTATAGTCGTAGTTACAGGTGAGCATAAACTGGAATATGTTGCCGCCTCGTTGTGGTTGTGGATCAAGATATCGAACAGCTGCGCAGCCCACTCGATGTACACGATCGGCAACGAGTAGTGTGAAGTGGCCAATCTTTTTCCTAATCAATAGAATAATGGTAATATTAGCCAAGTGTTTAAGTTTTATGGACGAGTTCATGCAATAAATACTGACTCCAAGAAATCTTGTTATACCCTCTTGTTATACCCTCTACCCGTAGGGTAAAAAGGGTATATGTACCATGCAGAAGGAAGCATATCCGACCCCATAAAGTATAGATATTCTTGATCAGCATGAAGAGAGAAATCGATCTAGACATGTCCGTCCGTCTGTCCGCCCGTCTGGATGAACGCCTGGATTTCGGAAACGGTTGAGCGCACATCAACCAAACTTGGTAAGTAGACGCTCCTAGTCCCTAGGTTACACGAGTTTATTTTACTTTTTTGAATTTCCTTTCCATTTGCTTCTGCTAGAGGCGCATATACCCCAGTGTCGGACATTTACCTGGGTACAAGGTATTTCACTTTCGGGCATGTTCGACTGTAGCATTCTCTCTTGATGTTTATAATGCACAAATTCAAAAGCTTTTATAACAAGGATCTAGTCAAAAAGAACTCATCTAAAAGTCCCTTTGAAAAATATGTGTGCAAATTTTTTGCCTGTCTGACCGGGTATTTTTGGATTGTTAATAACTTTAAATTTGTTTGCCTCGCTCTACGGCTGTCGAATAATCTTTCAAATCTTTCAAATTCAAAGGTTTTTATGACCAGCAAGCCAACATGGTAGTCAAAAAGTACGCATCTAAAAAACCCCTTAAAAAATATGTGTGTAAATTTTGGATTTTTAATAACATTTGCACTTCTCTGCCCCGCTCTACCTTACGACTGTAGAATAATCTTTCTTCGTTAATATTTTCAATTATTTTCTTTTAATTCCTATTAAAGAAGTTCCATTGTTATCGGGTTGTGGAATACTTACCCCTGCGGATGCGGACGGTAGCTATTAATGAATGTCTGATTCGCATCCAAGTACTCGCGAAACCAGTTCACAACAAAGGCCTTCATACGCCTCGAATGCGACTTGAAGTCGCGTCCGATCCAAAAGTAGCCAATGTTCTGTCCACTGAACTTGTAGTGCGGTGTATTGCGGCACTTGTCGTGCGCAAACTGGCATCGCTTGGCGTGCAGTGTGGCCAGATGCTCTAGTTCGGCATCCCAGCGCAGGAGCGGCATATGAGCGGCTGGCTTGTAGCCCGGCAGTTCGCCTCCAGCTATACGGGCTCTGGCTAAATTGTGCAGGTCCAGTAATAGAGTTCGTCGCCGTTCACTCATGTACAGTAAATGGGGCTTGGGACCGCAGCGAGGGGCGAAGCTGCCGTTGTTGCCGCAACCGATGTGCGGCATCTGTACGATGTGTGTGCCATTGAACAGCTCGCAGAGCGAGGGCGTACAATAGGCTGTGTTTGCATCACTTGGCGTTGTTGTTGTTGTTGGTGTTGGTGTTGTCTCATTTTCTGCTCCTCGAGTGTCTTGCAGCAATATCAGCAGCACTGCAGCAAAAATGCTGCACTTGCTCGATAATCTCAGCATTTGACAGAGTTTGTTCGGTTTCCTTTCCTTGGACCGCTCGTCAGACCGTACCGGGTCATGCACCACGCGCTACTGAGCTCAGCCATTACGCCCCATTTGGCTTATGAATCGAAGCGTTGCCTCGTCTATGGCCGTTAGGGAAGCTGTGGCTGTGATTATGGCTGCGACTGCGCAGTTGCGTCGTCGTCGTAGTCGCAGTGGCTGTTGCTGTAGTCGTCATAGACGTCGCGTCGCCGCGACTGCGCTTGTGAGTTCGCAATAGAGATGATCGCGTTACATCAAACATTCTGCGCCGTGAGTTTTAAATTTCCTTGACTGATACGTGTGAGTAAATATAATATAAAGAAAATGTTGTGAAAAGTTCGCGCATTTTTTAAACTATATATTTTAAAAGCCTGTTAATATTCAAGTTTGCTCTTAATTTTTTTTATTAATTAATTATTTCCTAATGTGACAAGAAAAATTCTTTTAAACTAATGCACTAGCTAAAAAACATAAAATTTTGTTTTTGATAACATTTAAAATGATTTCATTAACCTTAAGCTATCTTTTAAAACTTAGAGTTTAATTTCAATGGATTTTGTTGTACTTCAAACATTTTACAGTGTTAGTTATATATTTTTAAAGAACAAATTTAGTTTTTCCTTAATTGCTATTTTTTTCCCAAAATATTATTTCGATTATTTATTATTTTTAAATTTTATTTTATTGCAGAAATATGAAGTTTCTAATTTATAATTTCATTACAAATTTGAAGAAAACCGATATCAGGTATTGACAACACTAACAAATACATTTTTATTAAACTGTATACCTTCTTATTTTGTTGATTTTTATAACCAATACAATTTGTTTGATATTTATCGATTTAGCGTTACTCCCATGTCATGTCTCGTCATGCGCATCTCTAGCTGATAGTTTGTTGCTGCTTTCTTGCGAGCCCGAGAGCTTGTGTGCAGAATTTCCAATTGGCAGCGGCGCTTCCCTCACTTCCGACCTACGACATGGCGAACCGGTTTAATCGCCGCGGCGGCACACTAAACAGTGTAATCAAGTGTACTGGGCGGCAAGTGTGGGAAAAATCATTGCTTCAAGGCAATTGCTGCCCGTAAGCGGGAATTATTGGCCAGTCAGCGTTAAGCGTAAGGCTGGGGGCGATCAGCTTACACAGGGGTCTGCGAAGCCAACGACGCTGTCTATGTGCCGTTAAAAAAACAACACCGTAAAGCAACAATAACAAAACAAATAAACAAAAAAAAGCATACTCTTATACATAAAAATAAATTAAATAATACCGTCGCCAGAAACGTGCTTGGTACCTAATCGGCGATAATTAAAATAACAATAGTAAAGCTTTAAAAAATAACAACAAAGATAAATATGCAAAAAGAAGAACCGCGTCCAAGACAGTAATAGCAACACCATCAGCAACACCACAGATAACCACAGGCGTGGCAACAGCTGAGCGGGCCAAAACCGATGTGGTTCGGCACTTCTTGGCTAACTGTTAATTGGATCTGAACAATACGCTTGTAATCTGCATAACCATTGAGATCGAACAGACAGTGTTTGGGGAATGACGTAGTTCTTGGACTGACTAAAGCACTCGATCTTCCAGCCTCATTAATTCATACATACATACATACAAACCTACATATAACAATAATTGTTGCTTTAAGTGGTTTTTAGTTTTTATTATTAGTTCTACCATTCATAAACTTTACGGGTCTAAGGTTTACCATAAAAGTGGCAGCGACAGCGACTGCTTTTAGCTGCGGAGTCTATTCTTAGTAAATGACTTGTGGGAATTATTGGATGGCGTGTAAAAGTGCTTAACCCACTAGTTGATTGAATTGAAGTTTACAAAATATGGATTGAAGGTATTAGTAGCCCAATTGGAATTAACAAATAAATGAATTCACCGGCCACTTTTTATATATTTCAACATATTTTACATATACGAGTACATATTGTAAAAATTAAAAAACATTTATTTAAAGACTCTTTAAAATGTTTTTTGTTTAAACTGTCAAACTTTAATTTGAAGCCATGGCGGAGTTTACAGTGGCAGTTTCGACATATTTGGATATATTCTACATCTTACATAGATTTTGTTTGATATGTTTAAAAAAAATGAAATATACAAGTAGTACGCAAATATGTGTATTGTTCTTTATGCAGGAAACATTCCTTGGAAAGTAAAATTGGTGCACTGTCGAATTTGATCTACATTGCTTGTTAATATTTTGTGAAACTTTTTTTAATTTCATTAACTTTTAAGACGAGTTACGGAATACATGTGATTTTAAAACTGGCAATAAAATAAAAATTAATAATTTTACGAATCTAACTGTATTTTTTTCTTAGGCTTTCTTATCTTTTAAGTTCAAATTGTATAATTAAACATCTTTATTTTATTTTATAATATTATATTATAATATAAATCATAGTTTTTGAATATATATCGACAGCACTATTTGTTGATATATTAAATAAAAAAATAAAAAACTAAAAATATTTAAAAAAATGTTAAATGTTACTGGGCGGCAAGTGTGGGAAAAATCATTGCTTCAAGGCAATTGCTGCCCGTAAGCGGGAATTATTGGCCAGTCAGCGTTAAGCGTAAGGCTGGGGGCGATCAGCTTACACAGGGGTCTGCGAAGCCAACGACGCTGTCTATGTGCCGTTAAAAAAACAACACCGTAAAGCAACAATAACAAAACAAATAAACAAAAAAAAGCATACTCTTATACATAAAAATAAATTAAATAATACCGTCGCCAGAAACGTGCTTGGTACCTAATCGGCGATAATTAAAATAACAATAGTAAAGCTTTAAAAAATAACAACAAAGATAAATATGCAAAAAGAAGAACCGCGTCCAAGACAGTAATAGCAACACCATCAGCAACACCACAGATAACCACAGGCGTGGCAACAGCTGAGCGGGCCAAAACCGATGTGGTTCGGCACTTCTTGGCTAACTGTTAATTGGATCTGAACAATACGCTTGTAATCTGCATAACCATTGAGATCGAACAGACAGTGTTTGGGGAATGACGTAGTTCTTGGACTGACTAAAGCACTCGATCTTCCAGCCTCATTAATTCATACATACATACATACAAACCTACATATAACAATAATTGTTGCTTTAAGTGGTTTTTAGTTTTTATTATTAGTTCTACCATTCATAAACTTTACGGGTCTAAGGTTTACCATAAAAGTGGCAGCGACAGCGACTGCTTTTAGCTGCGGAGTCTATTCTTAGTAAATGACTTGTGGGAATTATTGGATGGCGTGTAAAAGTGCTTAACCCACTAGTTGATTGAATTGAAGTTTACAAAATATGGATTGAAGGTATTAGTAGCCCAATTGGAATTAACAAATAAATGAATTCACCGGCCACTTTTTATATATTTCAACATATTTTACATATACGAGTACATATTGTAAAAATTAAAAAACATTTATTTAAAGACTCTTTAAAATGTTTTTTGTTTAAACTGTCAAACTTTAATTTGAAGCCATGGCGGAGTTTACAGTGGCAGTTTCGACATATTTGGATATATTCTACATCTTACATAGATTTTGTTTGATATGTTTAAAAAAAATGAAATATACAAGTAGTACGCAAATATGTGTATTGTTCTTTATGCAGGAAACATTCCTTGGAAAGTAAAATTGGTGCACTGTCGAATTTGATCTACATTGCTTGTTAATATTTTGTGAAACTTTTTTTAATTTCATTAACTTTTAAGACGAGTTACGGAATACATGTGATTTTAAAACTGGCAATAAAATAAAAATTAATAATTTTACGAATCTAACTGTATTTTTTTCTTAGGCTTTCTTATCTTTTAAGTTCAAATTGTATAATTAAACATCTTTATTTTATTTTATAATATTATATTATAATATAAATCATAGTTTTTGAATATATATCGACAGCACTATTTGTTGATATATTAAATAAAAAAATAAAAAACTAAAAATATTTAAAAAAATGTTAAATGAAAAGAAATATACTTAGAAATAGTCTTATTGGAATTCACAAATTAATTACTTAAAAGATTTACTTTTATTTATTTATTTTTAAATTAATTCATACAATATTATTGTTAGACTCCAAACTTCTGCACTTAGCACAGAAAAGAACGAACATATAAAAAATAACGGCATATTTCCACTCTTCGTTTATTGCTTGCATCAGGAGAGCATCGGAGAGAGCAGCTTACTGATTACCAAGGTTATTGCTCTTGCGTCCAAAGCTCCGTTTTTTCCTGTGACGCCGTAATAGGAAATACTCTTTAATGGTTATTTCTCTCTCTTTTGCTTGCGCCTGCTACAATAATTTAATTCAATTAGAGTTTAAGAATTCATTTATAGATTTTAATTCATTTTATTTTCTTTTTTATATTTTCTTTGTGATTTTTGTTGTGTTCAATTATTATTAAACTAATATTATAATATACATTATATATTTTTAATTGCGGACCAACGCTACTGTGTAGAGTTTTGAAAAGGGATTATCCATACGTATGGGTTTCTTTTTGTCTTGCATTCTGGCTATGTTTAAGTCGCAGCTTATGTCGGCAGATTTGTGACTTTTGTGATTTAAGAGCAATAGAAAATAGTTAGGATTAACTTTGTTCGATTCGTAGCTTATTATGCCAAAGAGATGCTTTTGATTAGCTTCTTAGAGCAGTTCCTAGAAAATATCAAAGTCTTTAAGCAGACGCAGATTCGGTTAGCTAAATGATTTTAGTCCGATCGTTTCTTAGTGGAATGTAAATAATAATAATAATAAGTATGTACAAGGTGCGTTCCATAATAAACAGGAATTTTTGAATCTAGCGCCCCCTGGTGGCGCTATCTATATGTCGACTGGTGCGTTAGAATCTGCTATCTTTATGGATTGTCCAGTTTCATTACATTTCATCGATTGGAAGTGAAGTTATTGCGTTTTAAGTGTCAGCATGTTTGTGTTATCGGTCGGAAAATGAGCTTCGAAAAAAAGAGCCAACATTAAATTTTGTTTTAAAATTGGTAAAACT